AGTGATTAACGCAATGGGTTTTCTTAAAAAATAAAGGAGAAAAAATATTCAGTGGATGTAAATATAAAGAAATATTTCACTTTGCCTGGCTGAAGTTTGGGCGAATTGATCAGAAAAAAAACACAGGGGCGATTTTTTTTTTCATTTTTCTTATTTCATGTATTTAGTATATTTTGTTTTCCTAGATACACGACTGCTTTGTTTTCTCTTTATTTGTTTACTTGTTGAAGCAGTATAAGTAGATGTATATATATATATATATACTTTACTCCGGCCTACTCCTCTCCTATCATACAGGTTCAAGGTATCAATAAACCTTATTTGTCCTTGGGTCTGTCCATCATTCCCATAAACCTGGTACTTAACTTGACCTCCCACAGTTTTCCGAGCAAATAAGACATAAATATATGCAATTTACTGAAGGTCACTTCCCTAAACCCTAAAATAACTTCGCTTTATAAATATTTTCCCCCAAAAACTATTAACACAGATAAAAAAAAAATTGGTGTGTAATACAGCAAGAACAGATTGTTTTTGCATGTACGTGTTTTAACAATATACTGCTTTTTACATCATGTATGTTTGTGTCTGTTTTCTTGAGTGCAGGTGACCGGAGAAGGCCGTTGTTGTAAATAACTAAATAACCACCAGAACACGTCAATTTTACATAACAGTTCCTATGAATCTTGTCAGAAATAAACAGCTTCTCCCACGCAGTACATTTATATTTATACTAACACCGTGTTCACTGTTTTTGGAATCAAGCCAACTATTTGACTTGTTTCACGAGGGATTTTTTTGCATCCACAGCATAATTCATTCATTTTTCTGTTTCTATCTTTTTTACATACAACATTTTGTAGAACGTTCTCAAATGTTGCGTTTTTTTATGGGAGGTGATCAAATATCGTGTAAAAAAGATAAACCAATGCATTTCTAAACAATGAGCTTCACATGGTTTTATTTAAAGATTTTTGATAATACTAGTACTAAAACAATTAAGTTCAAATGATTTCTTATGCTAATATCTGTTCAAATTTAATTCATTATTTTGGTATTCAATGTCAACAAGTTCTACAAAATCAAAGGACAGACTATCGCATAGATAGATAGATAAAAATGATATAATTTAGTAAAATGTTATTTATAAATTTGACCTGGCTTAAAGACGGTGATACACATAAAAAATGAACACCTGGATTGGTATATATTTTGATATCTTTTATATCTTTTTTATGCAAATGATGCACATTATGAATTTAAAATGTTTTAAGAAAAAATCAAATTTATATTTCTCTGAGGCTCAAAGTCCAAATTTTCGGCAACTTATTTTAGAATAATTACAAATTTGTCACCTCAGATCCCATAATTGGGAAATTAAAAACTACGCGGTTAAACTTTGTTGTGTTACTTACATAAAACATAAAATAAAAATAAACCTAAATTAATTGTTATTTTCAAATGTTTTCATCAAAGTGTAATTTTTAATCATCTGCCCTTCAACTACTTCAAGAAGATAAGATGAATTTCATATCGATCTGACATATGTTAAACAAGCATAACACATAAATAATATTTTTGACTTATCAATCAATTAATATCAACTTGGAAAATATTTGAAATATACAATAATGACAAAATAAAAATCAAAAGAAGAACAATTAAAACACACAAATTATTGTTCAGGTGTTAGCACTAGTCTCTATTTTCACTAATAGGAAAAGTTTTCAGAAATTTTGTAACTGATACATTGTATCTACATGTAATATAAACTAGTAGCACAAAAAAGTCTGATTTGGTTCAAAAATCATTTTCATGTATCTAGTAAAAAATCTTAACAGACCTCTAAGACTTATTACGTATCTAATTCGAATAAGAAAAAAGAAATTCTGTGATGTATTTTCACTGTTTTTATAAAAGCAATAAGAGTGTGTTATCTTCTATATAAATCGTTCCCTGTATTTACACACTGAATTGACGAGGAATTTTCCCGTTATTTCCTGATCATGACAAAGTAGCACACAGAGGTGTGACCAGTCGGCAGGGGATGCTCACTCTTCACCTGATTCCACTCTCATATTTTGGATGTCTGTGTTTGCTCTCCTTCTAATTTGTAATGTTAAATGGACTTTTGAGCTTGAATATTGTTCTTTATCTCCATATATTTCATTCACTTTAGATTCAAAACGTATTTCAATATTTTTCTTTATCCTTGAACTTTTGAAATATTATGCAATTTCGTGCACATTTAGCGGTAGCTGAATAAACGCCAGATGCTTGTTTACCATAGACGACAATCAAAATTTATTAAATCAAGTGCACAGTTTAGCAACATTTGTCTTCGTATGAAGGCAATATTCTTTGATGTTGATTAATTTACGGTGAATTTCATTGCAAGTTCAAGGTGAAAACCAGCATGATTTCTGAATATTGAAGTTAATCTTATTCATCCTTTAGAAGATCCTAAAGAAATCTGATTGGTAAAGACATTTACAAAAGGTTAATGCTATAAAAATATGTCACATCACAATATTGTAAATCATAACCTACATTTCAATCTTGTTGAAAATGAAGCAAAGACAAACTTCTCACTAAATAATTTTGAAAGTCTATATAGAGATTAAATGAGTATCAGTTGAAAAACATTCTGTGTTTATTTGTTGTTTATACAGTTTACCTTTTTGTCTTCCCTATTTTTTTTCTCTAAATTCAGGGCCTTGATTATCTTAATAACTTATTTTCTTCTTCAGTACATTAACGGCAAAATTACAATTTAAGTTTAATATTATGCTTTTAATTTTAAAAAAAAAACCCTTCAAACTTCAGTGCTTTTGGTCAACAAAAAATACAATTCAAATTTGAATTAAAAATTTATATTCAAGCATTGTTCCCCATTTTTTGTACACGTTGAACGTTAGAAAACAAGCACTCCACTGTAAGCCCTGGGCTGTCTTTCCATGTGATTGACACAAAGGGAAAAGTAAACAACACGTATAAACTAATAAGGAAGTGTCACTTTTCCTTTAACCTGCAATTATATACTCTCCTCTGGTCAAAAAAGTGCAAATAAACTCATAACTCTTACACATCAAAGTCAGAGGAGACCAGCATTTATATTTCACGAGACTTGAATATTATCATAAATTTTGTACTTAGATTGATCATATCATATTAAGATTTTCGTGCTTTAAGAAAACAAAAAGGACATAATCATGACAGTTTTGCATATAGAATTATTTTAATTATACTGTTGGAATAAACTAAAGAAAATAATGTAAAGAAACGCTGAAAGTTTGATTTAAGTTTTCGTCATGTGCTTTACTTAACGAATAGGAATTGAAAATAAGACCCAAAAAAAAACAAGCCTTTTTTTTCAATACTTAAACCTGAAAATTCAATTGAAATTAATATCATTTTTTTTAAAAAAAAAAAAAGAGAGAGAACATCCATATTTAAAAAAAAAGAGAATGATATCTTAAAGGTATCTCTTTCCAACTAAAGACATTTTTTTCATTCAAGCTTAAAAAATCTGCTGAATAAGTTACTACAATTTTTGTACTTTTCCGCAATTTTCAGAGATATTAAAGCACAAATAACCTAAGGATTACACATTTTTTGCTTTGCTGGATTCCACATCTAACAAATTTGATATGCTAGGTGAAAAATTAATAATGCAACTTACAGTACTAAAAGAATGACCTATTATTAATCAATATATCACTTTTGGCCAAATCGTGTTACAGTTGATTTGATTTATGTTAATAAACCTCTTTTCAAATTAATTTGACAAGTAATTGATCTATTTTGAAAACAAGGTAAGATATTTTAACTAAAATCGACACTACTTTTTGAATATATTAGTTTACAGTTATATATTATCACTTTCTCTATAAATATTTCAATACATGTTTTGATAAATAATTTATACATAATAATGTTATTTTTCTTTCCGTATATAGTAACATTTACAAACATTTTCAATGAACCATTCACATGTGCATCCAACAAGAGTATTATTCTTTATTTTTAATTTACACATCAAACAAGAATGCTCCATACAGTTCTTGACATTTTTAAACACTGTGCATAATGTGAATATCTTATATTAAATGTTCGTAGCATGTGACCAGTGCCTTATGAAAATGAAATTATTTTACTTTCAGCAATCTTTTTTCACTTCTAAATCGCTTTTTAGGCCAGTCCTTATTAATCATATAATTTTGAACAAATTATGGTGCATCTGCACATAGATAATTATATGACCATTTCTTTTTCATTTACAAAAAAAAAATATGGAAATGTAATTTGCATGCCATCTGAAATCTTTTTCTTTGTAAAACTATTTTTGTTTGATAATTTTATAAAGACAAAGATTTGCCAAAAAATACGATAATTTATATGAAAATGAGACTAGAAAAAGAAATAAAATTAAATGGTTACAATTTATATTTCTGAAGTAAATTCTTTTAAAAATGCGCAAAATTTTTGGTCGAAATTTAATAAGTCAAAAAAATACCTGAATGCAAACATAATGTAGCTTCTATGCCATGTGTAAGTCTATCACCTGGAAGAGGTCGCTCAAAAGGTAGGTTTGTTGTTTGTTTTGATTGCAATCAAAACAACAATATTGCGGTTGTTATCATTCAGTAGAGGCTGTTTTTTCCTTGTTTTTTTGTTATTCACATTTTAGACGCCGCGACGGAAATCGACCCCAAAATATGACCGGGCTCTTTTAAGGATTATTTGAAAACAACATTGGTGAAATTGGCGTGTAACTTGTTTACAAAATATTTTGCATTCCATACCATGCATCATTTGGAGTCAAAGGATCATAGTTTTGTGGTTAGAATTTTTATACCGTGTTCAAAACCACGTTTTAAAGCATTTTGATTAAATTTTATAACTGCGGAAACTTTGAAATAAAAAAAATCTGATATTCAAAAATTAAATTTTTACAGATATTTGAAAATTTAAATAAATAAATAAATAATTAATAAAATGTTAATGATGTATTTATATTTAAAAATTATTTTCATTTTTTCTAAACATTTAATAAATTCAGGCCCAAAATTTTATGATCAACCAAAAAAATTCCAAAACATGAAATGTGAATGCACTCTCATGGTCCATTGACTCGCTTAATAAGTTGTGGGCAGGGCGAAAAAGTCCCTGCGTTGTATAAGTAATCCACAAAAGCTTCACCGACTCTCGATTCGCAATGCCTGTCGTCAAACCATTCCGCCAGTGTTTTCTTTCTTGTGTTTTTCTCTTGTTTTTCCTACATTCTGGACTCTGTTGTAAAGGTTCTGTGTTCTTAAACTCTCTAAGTATTATTTCGGAATGTAGAAGTCAGATGATGGATATACTCTCAATAATGTGCGGGTTTCCCTCTTTTATGGATTTTTTTCCCGCCGGTAAGTCTTTGCTTTCTTCTACATTAAAACTTTATTGGACCAGTTAATACTCTTTCATTGTAATATTTTGTTTTTATTAAAAAGACAATGTTAGAAGATTTCTTTCCTTGTCACAAATTTGATTGAATTTGAACTTTCCTCAATCTACAATTGAGCTCTTTAATAATATTTTTTTCAAACGATGACAAATCATAAAATATTCATTCAAGAATTCACAATCGGTCGAAAATTCTTCATGTGTGAGCTAAAAAAAGAATTTTATCGATAACACAAACTCGTAAGCAATGTACCCTCCATTTATGCAAATAGTAGATATTTTTAAAACAAGCATGAAATTTTCAAAAGGGGGTCTTAAAAATTAAAAAGAAAATGCTTTATCAATCGAATTACCTGCCTTTGAAGGAATATAAAATGAATGAGACTGCTATTTTTTTTTTTATACTTTTACCTTGATTAGTTAAAGGTATGAAAACAGAAATGATTTTATTCGTAAATACTATTTGATTGTTACATATTTCACATATGTAAAAAAAAAAAATATTTCTTTAGAAATTATATACTCTATGAAATATATACGCTTCTAATTTAGAAACTAAAATTTTGCAAAACAAGACTAATTACTTGAAGTACAAATATTGACAATTTAATATAATCGGATAGTAAGTGATTCTATTTGTTGATTATACCTGTCGTCAGGTACTGATAGTCATGCATGCTAAGTGGGTCCCAATTTCCATTGGATATTTATATTCTTTGAATAGTGTGATTGAACAATCATTAAAAAAATCAATTTACAGTTCAATTTCATACAACAGATAATGAAGTGCATCTAGTCGTTTATTTGTCATTTACTTTAATGCATTTTCTTTTGAATGGTTGAAGAAAAATCTAAAGTAAAAATCCTAAATATAATGATACAAATATAAAAAGATATGAATAATACGTTAACCTTTATCATTTGATGCATCAGTTTTATTATTGAATACTGTAATAAAGCCATTAGTTTTTAAAATATAATAAACTCCTACTATACTTTTCGATTTAGGAAAGTTTTATTTTACTGATAAATTGCACTGTGCTTCGTTATAATTTTTTTTAAACATGTGAGAAAAATACCAGTTTTTGAACTTTTTGGATAACAACGACATAAAGAATACATTTTTTGATCTTAACTGTAGCATTGTAGCTATCTAAAAATGTTAATAAGCGGAGAGCTGCAGTGCCAACCATTTAAAAAATGTTTTAACTGATCATAACTGTGTTCAGTTTTAGATTTAACTCTTTTAATTTTTCCCTGAACTGCACTTAGACCTTTCCCAATAACTTTGGAGCTAACATCAGTGTGAAGCGCTGGACGAAATTGACTTGCCATCAAAAAATTGGCAGAATAAAGATACAAATTCTTAGAAGCTCAGAATTCTTTCACTAAGAAATGTTTTAGAAAAAAAAACAAGGATAGTTAATTTTTAAGACGGACTTTTAAATATATTGAAAAATATTTTTTTTAAAAAAGTGTATATCTCTGTACGCTATAGTTCTTATTTAAAAAAAGTATTAAAATATCTAATTAATGTGAAAACACAACTTGAATTAAGTTATTTTAATGGATAATATCCATAGGCTTAACTGATGATGTTGGGATGGTTCCATCTACAAATTTCAGATATTAAAAAAAACTGAGAAATACATATACTTGTTCCACACAAAGGAAGTTCCGGTATGCTGTCCCCATAAAAGCTTTCCCCTTTATTTGTATGTTTCAAAAGATGTATACAGTAAAATTATTTTTTTTAAATCAACCACATTTACTATTTTTTACTTTTCATTATTCATTTAAATATAAGGTACAAAAGACAAACAATATAGATCGTTAATATTTAACAATTATGAGACGTTTACATGCAATTCGTTTAATGTTCTGACTATTCACACAAGTAACGTTTTGATAATAAGTTTTCTTTTTAAGCATACCTCTTAAATCCCAATCATATTGTTGATACAAAGACTGTTTTTTTTTTATCTTTGAATATATATTTTTAACATGGTTATATTTTTAATGAATTTTTTTAATACGTTGACACTGTCTATTTTCATAGCATCTGGGTTTTTTAATTTAATTTATTTATTTATTTATTTATTTCAAATTACCATTTCTAAAAAACAACTTTGAATTAAGTTATTTTAATGGACAATATGAAGTTAAGGCTATAATATTCGACTTATGTATTTTAATAGCATTTCACACAAAAATTTTTAAAAAGATTTATTAAAAAAAATTTTTTTTTTTTTGGCGCGAAATACATATACCTGTCCCACACAAATTTTAACTTTATTCTTAATCCTTAGGAAAAGTGACATTCTTTTTGTGTATTAATGGAAAATATTAATTCTATAATCCAGAAAATTCAGTGTAGACATTTTAAAAAATACAAATGCACAATATATTTTTAGTTTTTCATTATTGATTTAAATATAAGGTGAACCAAAACACAAACAATAACAGAGCTCTAATATTTAACATTTACAAAAACTGTGTACATAACAATGTGCTTAATGTTGCTAAACTCTGTACACACAAGTAACGTTTTGATAATAAATTTTCTTTTTAACATTTAACTTTGCTAAAATTATTTTGTTGATACAAATTTTAATGTTTCTTATTTATACAATATATATTTTTAACATGTTTATATTTTTGATGATTTTTTTGTGAAAGTGACAAGGATTTTCATAGCGCCAAAAAATTTTTTAATTTTATTTATTTCTTTATTTATTTCAAATTACCATTTCTATGAAACAAACTTCATAGATTTTCTTGTCCCTGGCTTTAAAATTTACAAATGTGTTCTGACAATTATTGAATATTATTCATTAGATTGAAGGTTTTCACGTACATAATAAACGTATACACGATGTATTCACGAGACAATCATAAAATACTTCAAAAAAGCACTGTCAATTTGCATTTTTAAACATGTATGTTTGTATTGTTTTTAAAAATCTTAGATAAGCAATAGTCAATGAAAGCATTAAAAGAGTTTAATAATTATTTTAATATTAATTCAAGAGGTGACTTTACAACTAAATGTTTATGCTGAAATATCCTATATAATCTTCATTCGACTTGAATGCATATTTAGTATACTTTAACCCATTAGTTAATTAGAATATAAGATATAATGCCATTTTATATTATTATACACTGTAAGTTTCTATATGCAGTCTTATACAAACAAATGCAATATATTTGATAAATAATTACCTGACATCATTCCCATCGGTAGCACAGCCCTTTGACTAAACTTTTGCGTTCACCATATATTAATAAACCTTTCATTTAAATTTACCTCAATATTTTCTCTTTTCAACAATTTTCCTTTTTTGTGTTTCTCCAGAAATGGATGAAAACAATTTTATGTTATTTAAAGATACTTAAATTAAACCCCTAGGTTTTTACTAACGCTAATTTACGCTTTATCTATTATAAAGACAGCAGCATAAAATACGCATCAATTAGACGACTTTCAATTATATTCCCTTTTGCTTCGCCCAACCGAACATTAAATTTCTTATTCTTTTAACACTTACATGTTTAAAGCTAAAACAACAAAAAATTGATTAAATATATTTCAATCATCGGACAAGTTTCTAAGAAACTTCGAAGCGTTATGCAACAAATTCAATAGTTTCTCTGGTAAAGGTTATCCCTATCTTTGTTAATCATCTTATGTAAGTTAAAATCGGGAAGTGGAGACGACATTTTGCGGTTATTAGCTTCTCCTTGTATTGATGTTGTTTACACAATGTTTCACATATGAAAAATGACATATACTACGAGGGAAACATTAGCAGGCGTACCTCGTCAATTTCATTGCTATTACCTGTTACAATAACTCAGCAAGTCCTGTCCTGAAGAATAATTAAATTCTTCGTTTTCTATAAATATGTCGACAGTTGGTTGGTAGATATTTTTTTCCAAGGTTAAGCCAGATTGCTTAATATACAAAATCTTAATTTATGAGAACTTTACCAGGACTAACGTGACATAGTATTGACAGAAGTTTAATCTTGTACACAAGTGGATTCGTTTTCATTCTTAATTAATTAAAAAATTCATTTAATCAAAGTACAATCCTGAAACTTTGCATATAATTATAATGATCTAATAATTCATTAAGTTCATACTTATCTCATCAGGTATTAAAAAAAAAACGGTTCTCTACTTATTTATGTGTTGTGACATTGTTAATAATTTTTTACTTAAGTCTAAGACTTCGTGTCTTGTGCTTAAACGATTTAATCTTTATTTCTAGGGGATGCCTCTTCTTCTACTCAGCAGTTAACAATGGACGATTTAGAGTGTGAATGCTGCTTTCGATCATGTTTTCCCAGTGACTTCACCAAGTATTGCCATTTATATAAAAAGTGACATAAGAAACAAGATTCCGAGGAGAATAAAAACTGTTGTGAATATCTGAATTTACCTTACCTTCCGACGGTGATTGTTGAACTTTTAATGATGTTGTTAAGTTTTAAATATAAAATGTATTTTAAAATAATGCAGCTTTAGTTTTTATTCATATATAAAAAAGATATATTTCATTTTCCATAGAGGGTTGTGCAAGGGTTTTTTAATGTGAAAATAAAAGTATAAAAATACTTTCTTATTGAGAACGATTTGATGTGGATTGATTGGGGGTTTTTTTTGTTTGTTAACATCCCTGGCAATAATATTTCATTCAAATTAGAATTCAACATGTACCGGAGAAGATCATCAAGTATATACAGCTCCTCGTACTTATTAAAACTACCTGTTTTTCGCACAAATTAACGTCACTTTGTTGCAATGCAAATTGTGTAACTAGGCAACAAAAGATATTTTGTGTGATTGTTGAACTTAATATCATTCAATTCCATTGGCTTAAACACCTTCCACACAAAACAGTTGGTAAGACCTTGACCTGATTTTGGCTGATGAAATGTATGGAGATAACGAACAGTATTCAAGCTCAAAATCCATTAAACGATACAAAACAAGAGAGAGCAACCATGGACCTTCAAAACATCAGAGGTGGGATCAGATACCATATAGGAGTGAGCTTCCCCTGACGACCGAACACGCCTGATACATTATAACAATATTTTTAAAGCAGTCTTTGGCCCTGCCTTAATACAGAAATAGTGCAACTCATTTGACTTCTCTATGTTCTGCACACCTGCAATTGTTACATGACTCTAAAGCGCAACTGGATAGGATTGATGAAAGACGCATTTAAGAATCGCTAAATGTTATGCAACCTGAGCCATGGAATAATATCATGGGGATTTTACTTCAACAGACATGCAAGAAAATGGACTTACAATTAAGTCAATATTGCAATCTCGGTATAACAGTATTTCTTATTTGTTCGACTCTTTCCATATTAAGGTATATTTTAAATTTACTTTCTTAAATCTATCAAGAAAGATGCGTCCCTCTAAAAATTTAAAACCGAAAATGTGAAAAAAAAAAATCCCTTTCAATATAAACAAATTGCTTCTTCTTGAAAGGTTAAATTATCCTTCGTTACCCTATCTTTTGTCTTGATTTCTTTATCCAACATTGGTCATTTTTCGGCGCTTCATTTCGACAAGACCAAGACAAGTTTATAGATATCTTTAAGAAGTCAATTAGAAAATTTCAACTGAATTGTATTAAAGAAATTTCGTTAATTGTGAAGTTAGGTAGTTGGTGGATTTTTTTTAATTGCAATGAAAAGCCTTGGTTTAAAAGACATCACGCAGGCCTTAATCAAATTATTTTCTAATTATTTTCGGTATTTGAAAATACAGAATAAATCTCTACAGTCACGTAAATTGAAATTAAAACTTTAAAAGATTGTTTAAAAATACTATTGACACGTCCCCAACTCTATTTGTTTAAAAGGGCACCAAAAATGTCTTAAACTTATTATAACAATTTTTTTTTACTGTTATAATTTCGACAGTGAAATTTTAGAAACTTAACCATTAAAAGAGTACAACAAAATTTAGACTGATATTAAGCTTACATCATATTTATATTTGAATAATTAAAATTGTTTATTCATTCAACATCTCTATATATGCATTCAACGGATCATTATAATTATATTCATCAAGAAGTCAAATTTTATTTTTCTAAAATTAAAGTAAGGGATTAAGAATTTTTTTTAGATGTTTTCAATGATAGAACTCTCAATTTTTTTTCTTTGACATGAAAAGTATGTATTTTGGAAAGTAATTAAAATTTTATATAAGTTTTGATTTTTCTATGTAATGATCTCCAATTATTTAAAATTCGCAGTGTGTATGCAAAAATTATCACCAAAAAATCTTTGCAAGCTATGTTAAAAAATAAAACATTTATTGTTTGTGATCGCGAGCAAATTTTGTTTGTATACTCTAAGAACAAAACCATTTGTCTGCAGCCTAATGTAAAGTTTTATTCTGAGATCTAAACAAATGTATGTTACTTGAGATTCATTCAAAAGATACATTTTGTTTAAGTCTTTTTGTATTGCAATGATTGGAAACCTTTACATAACTCATAATGATTCTACTATAAATAGAGTTCTTTTCAGTTCTGCCACTAAATATAAGCTTTTTTAACGAAAAAAGGTTGCATGGAAAAAGTAAATTAATTATATTCTAATTATTCAGAGAAATTAAATCAAGCGTAATCTACATAATTGAAAGGTCAGAACTTAATTCCTTGGAAATAAGAATCAAATTTAAGTTAAATCAGAGGTGAAAGAAAAAACGTAAAACTGACATTCAAAATGTATTCCAGATATCATATTTTTTACATGAAAAATTCCGATTCCTTTAAAAAAGCTGGTGTTGTAATATATAAAAATCTTAACATAAAACAATTGATATATATGATGGATAACATTTTTCAATATTTTTAACATCTTTTAAATTATTGATCTTACATCTCTTCACTTTAAATAAGATTTTTTTTTCGAATTTGTATGTTTCTTTTTGCATTAAACATATCTAAAAGTTACGCACTTGAATTATGCAAAGAAAATCTTGGTTAACATAGAAACTGCATGACATTTTGTTGTTTTATAAGATAAGGATGTTCAACAAATATTGCCTTTATCAACTTCATTTCTGCTGTTTTGCTGGACATGATGAATGATTCATTTTTGAGAGTCGCTAAATATTATGTAACCTGAACCATGAAATGATCTCAAGATTGATTACATTTCATTAGTCAAGCTTTAAGGATATTAAACCATTATCAATTCTGTACCTCCGTAGATGTGAATGTTTAAATGTCCAAGTAAAACCCCCGTCACATTTCCAAAACCGACCAACGGCCGACGGGTTTTGAAGCAAAAATGGGAGTCTACGGGTGACAGTCGTCAGTTCATCTGCCGTTGTCTTGGCCGATTTTGACCTATTTTTTTGTCGGCCGACCAATTTTGTGTCGATCGGTCCAAGTTATAATTTTTCATGCGTCGGTGGGCGATTTCTTCGACTGCAGTTATCCGTCGACCAACCTTCGATCATCGTCCGACTATCGACGGTCAGTTTATTAAGTCGGTCGTCCATCGTTGGACAATAAGGGTGTTGAAAGTTTCGGCCGACAGTTAAAATCAAACTGTAGCTCAGAGCTCGATGATCGGGCGACGATTGGCCGACTTGTGAATATTTAACCTATTAAGGATGCATAACACAAAAAAAATTTTGATGCATGGATTGATATAAATTTTTTGAACGGAAATAACATAAATAATTAATCCGTAAGACATAAAGAAATCTTAAGTATTCTTTGCTGCTCAGATATGCACCATTTGTCGTTTTTATGCAATTCCATACAAATTTTGCACACATTTTCAACATTGAGTCACAATTTTATAAGATTCTGCCACTTTGCCTTGCAAACATTACTCACGTCACCTATCTGAATATTAGATCTATGAAAAAATATTGCTCATTTCTAGAGAAAAAAGATTTTTTGTATTATTTATCCAAGTCATCGGTGTCCCTAGGAAATAATGTGACTGCTCCGTGTCACCCAATATTGTGTCGGCCGATCCTGTTCTTTCAGCCGACAAGACCAGAAAAATTTAGTCGCCCGACCATCGGCTTAAATGTGACTTAGGCATAAACAGTCAACTGTAAAAGTCAGTGCTTCTCGTAAAAGTCCACTAGGTCGATATTGAAATCGGTAGTAAAATTATTTACTAATTGCTGAAATAATTTTTCAATTTGAAAAAAACACTTCTTAACAAAATTGAAATGAAGAATGCAAAATTAGGGTGTTGATTTTTAATCTTTTTAACAAAACTTCGAATATCTTATATAAGGCATTGATTTACAACCCTTCTTTTTTTTCTCTACAATCAATCATTAACTGTGTTGGTACTTACATGGGAAGCAGGTGTCCTGTATAGCAAATAATTAGGTATGATTTATTTACATACTGAATAAGTAGCACGTGTTTTGGAGACAAATCGGGAAGTCATTAACTACAAAAATTATAAGATGAAGTACAACATATGCTTCCGATATGAAACCACTGCATTGAAATAAAACGCCCAGTCACATGTACAAGCTGTTTTTTGTTAGAACTCTACTGAATTTCATCAATTTAATTCTTACAAATAAGTACATTTTTACAAAGAAAGAAGAAATCGAAAATGTTTGATCATGTAGTAAGATGACCACTTCCTTAAAGTATCACTTTCTCTTCAGTACAATAAATACCCACCCACACCAGTGCTGCTATCTACACAACCACTATTCTCAAACCTTTTATACCATGCAACACTACTTTTAACACAAACACTACGTTAAAACACGAACATCGCTTTCTAACATCACCATCCTTATATAGCATTACTATCTTCAAATTTACAACTGAACTTAAAATCCAATATCTCCTTTCAAAAAGCAATTTTCTTCCAACAACAATACCTACCTTTACATTTTGAATACCTTCAAAGCCAGAAGTTCCCTTCTTTAAAAGCCCTACATTCAACACCAACATCACCTTCCGCTGAAACTAAAATTTATTTTTAAAACCAATTACCAAAACCTCTACTAACTTCAATCCAAAACTATATTTTAATATCACATTAAAACTCCATAACCATACGCTAAAACTAGAATTTTTTTCAATCCCACAGGATCCAAAAGAACCGCTACCTTTAGCAAATTGACATTATTTCTTCTGTCATAAACTATGATGTATTTTTTAAGCCACCACTTCCTTCAACACTCGATCAGTGATTCACATATGACATTATCACGGTTGCAACTGACTTAAGCCGATAAAAAGTAGTTAGAAAACATATGACATTATCACGGTTGCAACTGACTTAAGCCGATAAAAAGTAGTTAGCAATTGTTCCTTCGCCAAGAGCTCGGCACTCTGAAGTCAAAGTTAAAGGTCTTTTGTATGAGACTATGACGATCGAAGCCACGTATTACGGTAGGTTTTGGCACGATGAAGAACCTCACTACTAAGTAGCTCTGATGCAGAGTAAAGGTCTGAATTTGAAGCTCCTTAACAGTATTGAATGACGTGTCTATGTGAGGAAAAAATCCTCAAATTGGTTTAAAAACGACATGTAACAATACAATCCACCTTTATCACCTCACAACCTTTTAAAAAATACAACTACATTCCAATAATACTATAATCCTCACCCTCAAAAACCACCTTTACTCCGCAAAATCTGCCCACAACTCATTGTGTGAATAATGGTCTAAGATATTTTTTTTAAAAACGCCAGTCACCGATCGACATAAATTACAAACTCAGACATATATATTTTTTACTAAAAAAGGGCATATAGATATTGGTCAAATGCTTATATAGCAATATCTTAGCAGGGCCATTGCCATATGTTTCCAGCTAAGGGGTGCAAAGAGGAACTTTTTTAATTGGTACCATATCTGGTGATTCCTGTGAATGTATAATGATTTTCAAGCAGGATGTCATAGATTGTTGTGGTTTGCACCGAAACATGAGTGAAAGTTTGCGAATCTAAATGAGAATTAATTCGATGAAAGTTTCAAATGTTCTGAAGTGCAATTGTTGTTAAACATTCAACGATATATTATTCCATTTTTTCTGACAAATTTTAGATTTACGGAATATATGATTTCTATAACTTTATATGCATTACAATGATGTTATAGTTAGTAAAATAAAAAAAAACATTTCATTATAAAAAAAGGGGGAAGTTTTGTGGTTGATCTAAAATTAAAAAAATTGTATAACAAGTCACATATGGTCTCATTTCCTTTTCGAATGTAAAACACTGACACTCCATGTGTAGATAATGAAAGATAAATTGCTGGAAATTATCAGCAAAACCTAATAAAAACATATATTTTAGATCACTGATTCAAACCGAAAAGGTGGAATTATGCAAGGTATGTCAAAACCAAATTTTCATTTTAATCAACACACTTATCCCATTACAAACAGAATGATTTATTTGTTTTGAAACATAAGTATTCCTTAAAACATTTGTCTCGTTATCCGTGGACAATCTTATAAACTTCAATGTAGAAGTAGATGTTTTATATATTAAATTATACGCCATTATAGGTAAGATTAAAAATTAAATGAAGAAAGAAATAAATATTTGAAGTTTCTCAAATATACAGATAGATATATATGCAGAATGTTTAACAGGTGGAATTGATCTGATACATTAATTCATTGGTTAATTTATTTGGTTTTTTAAAGAAAAAAAATCAATCATGTTAATAACGATTATGCACCATAAGACTACATAAACAAAAGAGAGTAAAAAATTGTATGTAAATACTTTAAAAGAAAAAATAACTACCTGTTCTAGGAATAATATTCTGTATTGCTGCGTCTCTCATCATTGCTGAGGGCCGGGAACTGACCGCCACTTTAGAGGTTAAAGGGGGTGACTGGGGATTGTGGGGAGATGTGGCATACTGTCCCGAGGGGAGTTTTGCAGATGGTTACAAAATGAAGGTACTTATCTATTGATTTTTAGGCCATAGCTAACTCCATATAGCCGAAAAGATATTTCAACAACATCTACAATAACTCTGCTTCGTTATTTTTTTTTATCATTTAATTAATACATATTAGGTAAAAAAAAAAGTGAAAGAGACTTTGATACTTTTTTTCAGATTGAGCCGAGACAGTTCTGGGGAGATGACACATCTCTAAACAGAGTTGCCATCTCCTGTAGGGATGCAGTATCCCTAGAGGAGACTAGCGAGGTGACACCTCATCCACACATGAAAGCATTCGGTTCCTGGGGCTCAAAGACTTCTTGTCATGAGGGAGATTTCCTGACGTCATTTGCCCTGCAGGTGGAAAAGCCTCAGGTATAGTTAAATTCCCATGTCCTTAATGTGAAACTATTATACAGATTAAAAGAAAAGTCATATATTTCATTACATTTAATTGTTAGTCCATTATTTTCACACTGAATTGACGACGGATATTTTGTTGTATCCCGATCATGAAAAGGAGTTCACCGTGAGTGTGAGCGGTCGGCAGGGCCTGCTCACTCCTACATGGCACCTGATTCTATCTCATGTTTTTGGGGTCCGTGTTTGCTCTGCTCCTATTTGTGTTGTTTAATGGGACTTTTGAGCTTGAATACTGTTCGTTATATATTTCACTTAGGGAAAAGGTGATGACACTGCGGCCAACTTTCTGAAGTTTACATGCAGAAACACCACGATGGGAGAACCTTATGTATTAGCTCACCAGCCAGGAGCAGGGTATTGGGGGACGTACGGAGAATGGAGCGAAACGTGTCCCCAAGGGTCTGCCATCTGCGGAATTCAACAGAAAATTGAGTCTTACCAGTCAATCTGGGGCGATGACACGGAACTGAATAATCTTCGATTTTTCTGCTGTAAGCTTTAATAAAAGATAAGAAAATACACCTCTCTGTGAAATCATCGCTATCTTTATTTTTGTTAGAGAGTTGAAGTTTCAATGTAACCTTAAAGAAAGAAATACCTTAACTTTGGATTCTAAAAATAATTTTTTTAGTATTCTTTTTACCAATCAAAAAACACAGAAAAGTATGACATTCAAATTAATCTAATGGAATAATGCATGTTAGTCAACCTTTTGACAAGTCATTCAAGTTGAAATAGGTAAATCAGTGCAATGAACCTACAGATGATTTTATTTTTAAAGGATAAGATTATCCCATGCAATTACTAAATTCAGAGATCCTTTCTAAACATTGTAAGTGAACAATTATCTTATGTTCCGAATACAACCTCAGTTTTTAAACATCAAATTATGAATAACATTAAAAAAAAAACGTTGAAAGTCTACAAAAAAAATGCTTAAATATAAATACTCGGTTACAGAAAATTTCCTCTAATCTAGAAGTTTCATTATAAAAATTACCACCTTTATTTGCAAGAGATTAAGAGATCTCCATTACATTTTAAATATACATACTGAAAGGACAAAAGAAATTAAACGCAGGGTAGCATAACATTCGAAATTATTTTGACCGCATGACTGAAAATTACGAATATCGGTCAGATGACAATTTTAGTTACTTTGCACCAAAATCAGTGTTCAGAATTACTCGTAAAATGTATGACGTCACGTAGGAAAAACGCTAAAAAGCCCCAAACACGTGCAAACTGATGACGACGAGTTTGTCATAAAATCTTGTTGTACCATGTGATGCATCTAAGGTATACACATTGTTTTTCAGTATTTACAGACGATATGATTTTCTTGCAATCTTGGTACAGTTTACGAAATTTCCATAGGGTCTAGTTTTCAAATTGCCTAAATAAGAAAAAAAAAACGCAATAACGGGTTACTGAGCAGTTTCTTGTAAATTTTCCTCCATATAACGTCCTACCCGTTGTCAGAGAGGGCCAGGAATGGTTTCCAACCAACCGTGACGAACAGTCACTTTTCGATCGGTTTATTCGTCCTGCCACCGGTTTAATCGCCACCTTATTACCACAAAAACCGCTTTTAATACAGAACTCATAATCATTACATTCACCCTAAAAATGAACGAACCCAATTGCGCAATTTGGGTTTTTGAGCTGGTCAACTTACTTTTGTGTTCCTCTCACTGCATGGTGTACGCGCACCTCGTTTGACTAATTTTCCGGTGTGGTAGCCATGCCCAATAAAGCCAGGATTTGAAAGATAAACACTCTGATGAATTTCATGCAAAGGAGAATCAAGGCTGTGACAGATATGCGAGGGAGCTATTGAAGATAGTAAGAGTTTTCTATTTTCACTTTTGGGGGTATCTTCATATGAGTTTCAATATTATAGGACAAATTCAAGTGGGATTTGTATACATTTTCTTTCAAGATTATTTTAAAAGTTAGATAGGAATACTAAAAAAAAAAATGAAAAGAAAAAGAAATTTAATTCTCTTCAAAATTTACCTTGCGTTTCTTTTTCCTTTCAGTACACAGGAATTTGTTTTTCATAAGCAAATGTAGCTGGAAACATAAAGAATAAAGAATGACCCTTAAGAAACCACTAAAGATATGACTTATGCGCACCTAGCAAGAGGAAACATACGCTTTTCGCGCGATAAACACAGATCTGCACGATTCGTATCGGTTGACCCTAAATTTCTTTCCTTGTTTATTTGTTATATGGAATATTAGTTACGTTTTGTTACGTATTGTTATAATTACTCACAAGTTATTTCTGTTCCTTTGTAAAACAAGCAATACTCATTTCGGGACAAATGTTGTGGTTTTGCTTGGAATATTCTTTTTTCATGTAGAAAGCGCAAAGAACATTACATGTATAACTTTATAAAAATCAAAATAGGAAACAAAACGATGTTAATGTGTTTTTGTTCTTTTGGAAAAACAAGAAATAATTCCTTTACAACATGATGTATTTGCATTGTGTGAATGCAATTGACCATTTATCACCCTTTTTTCAGGAAGGGGAATATTTTATCAGGTAAAGAAATTAAAAATATAACTCGAAACATAAGTACAGAAAGAATTTTTCTTTTACAGGTAAGGACGTACATGTAGTATAATTATTAAATTTAACAAAAAAATTTCTTATGGATCTCTTATTGTTAAGCCAGCTTATGGCTTCTCCGCATCTTAAGGAGTATCCAATCCATCAATGAAATACTAGTGTACGATGGCGATCAGATCGAAGATGCATTACATACATGCAGTCCTACTTTTTTCGGATAATTCAAAGACATTTAACGGGGATATAGAAATTTTTCACATGGAGTTGGTTGAAGAGGAAATGGGAGTTGTTACACAATGTAATGTATCTTTGTGTAAATAAGACTACTACAAGGACGCAGCATATTTTTTGACTGACGGGGACCATCCAGGGAAAAATTAAATACCTGAAAAATTATGACAGCAAAAAATAGGTAACACTTCATCAAACAAGAGGCCCACGGGCCTTATAGGTCACCTGAGCATTATGCAACAACTTTCCAGTTACAGTGTATTGAATTTGATTCATGTTTTAAGCCAGATGCTATATGGCATTCACAATTTTGAAAGGGCACCATTGATCATCATAACAATAAACTTAGCAGTTGCTTAGCTTGGTTACTGAATACCCATACCCAGGGTAGGGGAACAAAAATGCACTCCAACTAATCAGTAATATTCATCAATAATCAGTAGTGCCCCTAACACTCTGACATAAACCCCTGACCCTAGGTTGCACAAAATTTTAAAAGGCACCCTTAAAATTGCCTATCAAAAAGTAAATAAATGTTTTATAAATACAAAGGACCAGATTTCAAACAATTAATTCATTTTCAGTATATAAGTAGAGCCCCCCCCCACCCCTGACCCTGGGGCCTTGAAATTCACAATTCTGCAAGATTAGGGCCCTTGCTCATCATAACTATATAGGTAGTTCATCTGCTTCATACCCAGAGACAGAGAAGAAAAGTTTCAAAGATTTAATGTATTTTCACTATATAATCAATAGAGCCCCACCCTAACACCAGAACCCCAGACCCTGGGGCAATGAAATTCATAATTTTAGAAGAGGCATTCTTGCTCATCATAACTATGCACTTACTTAGTTTATTTAATACCTAGGAGCAGAGAAGAAGATGTTCAAAGAATTCATGTATTTTCACTTTATAAACAATAAAGCCCCCCCCCCCCACCAGAACCATTGACGCTGGGGCCATAAAATTCAATATTTTTGTAGAGGCACTCTTGCTCATCATAACTATGCACTTAGTTAGTTTATTTAATACCTAGGAGCAGAGAAGAAGATGTTCAAAGAATTCATGTATTTTCACTTTATAAACAATAAAGTCCCCCCCCACCAGAACCATTGACGCTGGGGCCATAAAATTCACAATTTTTGTAGAGGCACTCTTGCTCATCATAACTATGCACTTAGTTAGTTTATTTAATACCTAAGAGCAGAGAAAAAGATTTTCAAAGAATTCATGTATTTTCACTTTATAAACAATAAAGTCCCCCCCCCCCCACCAGAACCATTGACGCTGGGGCCATAAAATTCACAATTTTTGTAGAGGCACTCTTGCTCATCATAACTATGCACTTAGTTAGTTTATTTAATACCTAAGAGCAGAGAAGAAGATTTTCAAAGAATTCATGTAATTTCACTATATAATCAATAGAGCCCCCCCCCCAACACCAGAACCCTTGACCCTGGGGCCATAAAATTCACAATTTTGGTAGAGGCACTCTTGCTCATCATAACTATTTACTTACTTGGTTTATTTAATACCCAGGGGCAGAGAAGAAGATTTTCAAAGAAATCATGTATTTTTACTATATAATCAATAGAGCCCCACCCTAACACCAGAACCCCTGACCCTGGGGCCATAAAATTCACAATTTTGGTAGAGGCACTCTTGCTCATCATAACTATGTACTTAGTTGGTTTATTTAATACCAAGGAGCAGAGAAGATTTTCAAAGAAATAATGCATTTTCACTATATACTTATTTAGCCCCGCCCTAGCACTAGAACCCCTGACCCCAGGGCCATGAATTTCACAATTTTGGTAGAGGACTCAATGCTGATTACAATCATGCAAATAGTTTGACTGCTTGATGTCCAGGAGTAAAGAAGATTTTTAAAGATTGCATTAATTTTAGTGGTTTTGGCCCCACCCCTCAGGCCCCAGGGGGGCAGGGATCATGAAATTCACAATTTTTGTTCCCCTTCACCCATAGATGCTTTGTGCCAAATTTGGTTGAAATTGGTTCAGTGGTTGCAGAGAAGAAGCTGAAAATGTTCAAATGTTAACACAAGACACACGACGGACGACGGACGACGACGGACGAAAACGGATAGCAATAGGTCACCTGAGTTTACTCAGGTGACCTAAAAAGCCTTTAACGGAACATTTCCTATAGTAAAAAACATTTTCGGGACCCTTTCTTTTCAAAAATTTAAATGGGGAAGGGTAAACAATCGTACCTCCTTCAGATCTGCCGATGGACATTAATATAAAGAATTACGTTTTTTCGTTGTTAAAAGGGGATTCCTGTTGCAACAACTGCAAAAATTATTTGTAAGCATTTACTCCGGTTAATAACTTTTTTGCAACGACAACAACAAAAAATTCCGATAATAATAATGACAAGAAAAACATTTCATTGTTAAATTAGTTAAAACAGGTACAAAAGCGTGCATCGCAATGAAAGAGAATATCACTAAAAAATTTCAACGTTTACACTTTTTTAAATGCTTATATTTTCAAAGAGCATTTAAAACATCTGAGATGGGCACACAAAATATAATATTAATTATATATTTACTTCTTAAAAAGAATTTTAATCATTCATACCATCGCGGCCAATTTCATACCTAGCATTATATCATACAATGTTTACTCTTTAAATCTTTAGATAAAAAGTCCTTATCTATATTGTGTGTAAGGAAAATTTTTAAAGGGTTGGCCAACCTTTTCAGAAAAAAAAGAAATACAGAAGTACAGCTCCTTTTCAATTTGTCCAGTTAATGTTAATATATAGATTGGTAGCTATCAACTAAAACTGCTAATCAAAACCTTACTGAGTTAATGCGCAATCTTGAGAGGTTGATAAAACAAACCACTTAAATTTAGGCCAATCATTCACCTTATATTACTTACTAAGGTTAAATAAAATAAATTCTATCCTACTTCATGTGTGTAACATCTGGAAATTTTAAGAATACCAATTTATTTTATTTACTATTATTATCATGATTTTTTTACAAGAACAAAACACGAAACATTTTAGATTCTCTTTAATTAAAGCATTGGAAGATAATGAAGAAAAAAAAACTAAAAAAAGAAATATAATAACAAATAGCATGAGTTCAAAAACAAAAATGTGGAGAGAGAGGGAAAAATCTCTTGACACGAAAAAAAACTACAATTTAAAAAAAAAACATCAATACAAATGACATGAAATATCAAAATATTATATTGCACACTTCTCATAGATAACGTTGTCAATGGCACCTAAATAAAATACTTGTAAATAAGTACTCACATTCTTACAATGAAATAACTCGTTGAAGAAAAAACTCCGTCATTATAAATATCAACGACACATCTAGTGTGATAGTTTGTGGTAAAAACAATTTCTTATTCTTATTGCCAGAAATAATCATAACTTAATCCTCTATTGCAATTAATACTGTCTTGTTATTAAACTTCTTTTTAAGTACATGCACCGTCATTTAAATCGTTCACTGTTAAAATTAAGTATCAATGAAAATATCTAACATCCATAATGATTTTATACTTCAGTTCTATACAGTTACATTCCTGCATATTACGAAATTTAAATTCAAAAACATTGAAATAAACAAAATATATCATTAATGCATTAAATTAAACTTAGAAATAAAACCATATCTGTCTTGACGTCATTTTTATATACTAGTGATACTGGATTAATCTGATATCAACAGATGAGATGTCCAGAGTCGACATTTACTTCAATTCTTTGCCATGACCTTTGTCTTTTAAGTAAAATTAATCGTCCCTTAGCATGGGTTATTTTTGCAATCATGATCTAAATGTTAACTTTTAAATTTCTTCTATTGTACATGTACATTGTACATACAGTTGTGTGATTTTACCTCTACTTTTTCTACTTTAAAAAAATCATTTTGGATGTAATTCAGAAGGAGAATAAACCATTTAACAATTTCTTTTTAAGTACATAATTTTTGCGACTTCTTCACAACTCATATTGAAATTTTCAACCTTCAAAATAGTAACCAACTCGTGTCAAAGGTGATAACAAAATTAAAAAAAATAGAAAATAATATTGGATAAAATCAAACATCACTTTCTTCCAATGGAAGATCAAAAACGTCATCAGACTGCGCAGAAGACAACGGTTTTTCCGAATCAGTGGATGGGGACGTAAAAACACTTATTCCTTCAGTTGAAGTGGCGCGCAAAAGCCGCGAGTCCTCGTCTTCTCCGATAGAATCAAGCGATTCCCGAATAGGCAGCATGTTAGAGGAATGGTAGACCTTTGCACTGTCTTGTAAATGAGCAATGTCACCCTGCTCTTGAGAGCGTTTCATTCTGTATTTTTCAGAAAGAGTTTGTAAATGAGATTCCGACTGAGAGGATTTTAAGGTTTCTTCAGAACTATCCATGACTTCCTGATACTGAGAAGTGGATTTTATGCGATGCATTGGGGAGTTTACACATCCAACATCGTTTTTGGATTTCAAAGGAGTATCAGCTAAACCACCATCACTACTGGTTAAATTGGTCACTACTAAAGGGGGATGGTAAGCACCTAAACCGTGTGGATATCCAATTCCTGCAGCAGTGTAGTAATAATTTGGATCTTCGTATTCTGCTTGTAATGTATCTTCTGGAGAATGGCGTTCTGAGCTTCTCAAAGGTAACAGAGCTGGATTATTTTTTTCGTTTATCTTTGGAAGGGAAGATACACTTTCCAAATTTTCGTCTAAGCATTCTTTGATTAAAAGCGGATTCGATTCTACAACAGCACAAGTTTTTACAACATGACCATTACACTGTTTACACTGAGATTCGCAACAAGAGCTAACTTGGTTCACAAACTCGTGCTTTTTTAACTCAGGAGACTGCTTAATTGTTTCAAGAGTAGGGGGACTTTGCAGGGTCATTCTACAATTCTCCTTTCCTTTGTCTAATTCACTAGTCTGACTCAGAGAGTTTAACATACTAGACCTCTCTGACAAAGTGTCGGGACTAGCTAGTGGCGCTTCCACAGGTTCATCGCTGTTTAAATCCATTAATAACTTGGGTTTTTTCGAGGAGTTATACACAACAAGTTGTCCATCTGGACCTACAGATATGACGGGTTCCTCCTCTGTCTTCTCATAGAGGTACCTAGGTAGGGTTTCTACCTCCGTATTAACGTTTTGTTCTTCTTTCGTTTCAGCTTTTAATGTATTTCCTGATGGCGATCTAGCATCTAAAAATGCTTGCCTTTCTTCCTCTGACAAAATCCTCTCTGGTTTTGGAGGAGCAACATTTACTAACACCTGTAAATTAAATTTGAAAAATAAAAACTTGTTCAATGAATATATCTGATCCGTTTTTCCACTTTTCACTTATATCAACGATCTTTTTTAAAGTCATCATTTCGTAAATTCTATGGACGATACGATGACCTTGTCAGCAAATACAATTCATCATTGAGACAAATGCTGACTGACGTTTTTCATAATAATTGTTAGTCTATTATTTATATACTGAATTGACGACGGATTTTCCGTTATTTCCCGATCATGACAAGGAGCGCAAGGAGACCGGTCAGCAGGGGATGCTCACTCCTCCATGGCACCTGTCCCGAAATTTTTTGATGTGTCAGACAAGTCACGTGTTTGCTCTGCTCCTATTTTGTATTGTTTTATGGACTTTGATATTGAATACCGTTCGTTATCTCCATATCCTTCTTATACAGAGTCTGAGACAAATATGGCTTAAATATCCGACCTAGTGACTGACATATTTATTTGTTAAATATGTTAAAATTATGTATTTTGGTTTTATATTTTAATGTCCCGACCTTTATTAAATTTGCATATACTCTATTTTTTTTTTCATATGGACATCTGGAGTAGTTTTCAAATGGGCAGTTTGTACCGGCCTTGCCGACAGGACCGACGGATGTTCAATAAATAATGGCACCTGTCCCACCTCTGATGACACACAACATAGAAATCATATGACATTAAGCTTGACTAATATAACATTAATATAATATTAATGTTATATATAATATAAGGCAAAAAAAATTAATTTCTTGGTTCTAGTGACTGACAGATTTATTTGTTAAATATGTTAAAATTATGTATTTTGGTTTTATATTTTAATGTAGAGTAAAAACTACATGTACTTTATACACACTTATATATGTACATCTAGTAGTTAATGTTTTGTCAAACCAATGATAAAAAGATATTTCATCATGTTTGGGGCAAGAAACAAGAAGGAAAAAATGCCATATATCCAGTATCATATGTCATACTCAAAACTGTGTTCTAAAACAATTAAAATTGAATAAAAATGTCACGGACATGTGTTTTAATTAAAAGAGACATTAAATTGAAACCATTAAGACTAAATCATTTAAAAGCGTTTTTTTTTTTTAATTTCTTTCCGAACACCGATGAAATAATTTTTAACAGCCCTAGTACAACAGTACAGTGGACAGATTTCTTTGCTATCCAATAACATTTTGAAGAATTGAATGACTTAAAGTAGGGGGCTACTCGTGTCAAACCGGAAGCCGGAATTACCGTTTTCGGTTTAAAAATTATGGTACATATAACATTAATTAGCAAAAATGTAAACAACGTCTACAGAAAAGGGGTGTCAACAAATTTCAGGGTATTTTTGTGCAAGGATTGACTTTACAGCATGTAGCAGAAAATTGAATAGATTTAAAACACAAGCGCGAGTAATTCCGGACATGCTTTTCAGAAGTATATTTTTTGACAGTTACAAAAGACGTTTATGATTGCATTGGTACATCTCATGATATTTGAAAAATATGAAAGAAAACGTGGTGAATAATTTGCTATTAAAAATAAAACTTTTCGTTTGTTGTTTTTATTTATGCACAATTTGTATGCTGTGCAGATGGGATATTCAAACAAATAATGAAACTTGAATACTCAGTTATAATTAAAAACCAACAACAAATGTTTCTAATGATGTATTTGCAAAAAACATAACTTTGCTTGAAAGACAGCTTAAATTTTTTCATAACTAGTAATAAGCATCCAGGTTTTAATCATCAGTATTTTCCAGTACATAATATAAAGAATTAAATTGATATTAAAATTTATGTTTGTGGTTAGAAAGAGTGTGTAAATAATGATAAAATTGTTCCAGAAAAGAATATTTCACTTTTTAACATTAAATATCTTTGTCAACATAAAAGGCTATAGGCCATTGAAGAGTACATGTAAAGGAGTTTATTGGGAAAAACAGAAGACCAATACATTTATCACACTATAAGATACTTCAAGCATTGGTTGCTATAATTTAAGACAAAAAAATCAGGGTAAACAAATTAATTATTCTAATAGAGAGCTTTCTTTGCCATATATCCAGTACTTTATTAGTGAAATGAGATTAATTATTCAATATTTTCTTTGTTTTAAAAAAAATTAAAATTGAAATTAAAAATATCCTTATCCTTGTAATTTATGTTCAAGAAAATTTATTTGCCATGTGCTATGACATAAAATCATTTAAAAGATGATTTTTTTTTTTAATTTCTTTCACACCCATCTCAGATAAAAATAATTTTTAACTTTTTGTGCTTTTGAAGTAGATAAAGTATCTATTTATGTAAATCAGGACAAAAATTGCACCATTATCCAATTAATTCTACGAGTAGGGACCTACCTTAAGCAAAAGAGAAATCATGTTTTAATAAGTGAACATAAGTGCATGCAATACATCGCAGGATTTCCTACATTTGAAAGTTTCGGTATATGTTTCTGCTTTGGAGCACTAAAATACAGGTATAAGGAAAAAGGTTATTGTAAGGAAAAGAAGAATTAATGGTTAAAAAATCTATTATAAATCGCTGTTTTTAAATAAATTTTCTGAAGAAGTAGCCAATAACAATTCTTTTAATAAATTAATTACATTTAAAATGTACATTTTTATATCTTGCACCTGTTTTGAAACACCTGTTATTTCTATACTGCACCTAATGACATGAAGCCATCCTTGATAAAATGGATCAATATAAAATTTTGCATTAAGATATTTATGAAATTTTGTACATGTCACTTAGTACAAAGTTGATCCTTTCTGTATTGAAAATTAACTCTTACATAACAATTTAGCAAAATCTGAACCTTACAATGAACATAGTTTGTGCATTTAAAAAGAGGAAAAGATAAAGTATATAAAAAATGAATATATACATATATATATATAATTGATCCTGGCAATCTGAGATAGTTTGTTTATTTAAAAAGAAGAAAAGAAAAAGTATAAAACTAAAAAAGATATATAAATATAAAGTAAAACTGCTTGCACTGCAGTAAATGTGTTGTGATTCTTTTGAATTTTTACTTTTAAATATACCGAAAAAAAAACTGTGCTGATTCTTGTTTTTGAAATTATTGATATATACATAAATCACTGTATCTTAATTTTAGTTCTTTATATAAATATCTATTAAATATATTTAAAAATAATTAAACAAGGTTAAACAAGATTTGATAACCATCTAATTTTGTGTTATTTTTCTAACCTGTTAAGGCCTTACAATTAAAGGAATTTATCAAACTGCTATGAACAGACACATAATAATGACAACTGTCACTTACGAACACTCAAGGTAAAACATGGAGATGCCACATTTTAAAAGGAAACTTGTTTTTCTTTTTTCCTGATGTTTATGTACGAATTTCACTTTTTTCTTCTATTTTTATTCACTTGTTAAGACATGTTAATAAATCGCAACAAGAGATTTTCAGAAATCCAATGTAGGTACATATATTTAAACGACATGAAAACAAATAACCACAACGCTCGCCTGAGTTAAAATGGTCCTGTTGTTCATTCATCATAATGATTTTGTTCTATATATATATTCCTTTGTAAGACTTTCATTTCCTGGTGTTAGTCCACCCGGCCCCATAAGTGACTTGAACTCACATGAGTCTAAACAAAGTGAGGATTCTTCCACATTCATATAGTTTATCATAGCTTTGCTGTTCACTACACATTTTATCAAGTTTTCCTTTATAGGTTAATTTAAGATCCGGCATTTTGACACCAATAATTTAATAATGCTGGGAGTGATAATTCGATCTTCTTTGAATCCATATTATAACATCACATTTCACGTTTAAACTTTTATGACTTACCGGTTCTTAAAAAAAAAATTCATTAACTGCAGCTCAATATTACATTCCCTTGAAAAAAGATGCAAGGTTCCTTTATTCCTTTTTTTTTAAAACCATTTTCTCAATAATTCCAGAAAAGTCGAAAATTGAGTTTACAGATGGACAGAAAAACGGACAACTAACCAGACGAATAAAATGAGATCAGAAAAACTCAATTGATCTTTTAGCTCAGGTGAACTACAAATGGTAAATGTCTTTTAAAGTTCTTTTCAAAGAAAGTTTTGGTAAGGAAATTTATTGTCATCACATTCAAAATCACAGGGAAAAAATCCTCAAGCTGGTATTCTTAAAATCGGAGGTATACGAAAATTACAACTAAACTTACCTTTTCTAACGCCTCTAGTACGTAATCAGGCATGTGGTCATTTATCATGGATGGAGAGACAAGTACCTCATCAAAGTCATGATTACTGGCCCAGATAGCCTGATACACAGGTTGATGGGGCTGACAACAGCGGAACAACGACTTCCTGAATAATAATTTAAAGCTGAACATTCTGGTAACAATACTCAAGATATCTTGATAAGCAGATAGATATTTTTAACACAAAATTAGTGATCACAGGATTTAATCCTTTACTCTTTATTTATTTCTTATATACTGAAATATGCTCAAGTGCAGATTTTCCAAAAAGAATTAAGATATGTCTCAAATAAAGGTAAAAAAAAAAATATTCATTATTCTTCAATATAATCATTTTCAATTCAAACGAATGTAAAGTTTTCTTTTTTTTCAAAGTTTAAATCGAGTTTTATTTTGGATTTCCTCACTGACCCCCTTGAAAAAATCAAAGTAACCGCAATTCTGTAATACAACCGGAGTAAAAATAACAAATATAAATTTTATAGGGCTTTACGTAAGAAAAATGTCATAAACATAGGCATTATTTCAAAAAAAGAAACTCTCTTACATGCAAATTACATCTTACGATTTCTTTTCAAGCTATGAACAAGTGTCCTCCTGTGGTATAAATTGCACGATAAACTTTAAGGTTGTTTGTTAGGTCATAAATATCATTCTAATCTACGAGAACTATTCTGTACAGTTATGACATCTGGCACAAATTTACATATACATATCAAAGAAAAATTACCTTACCAAAAGAAGAGAGATATAACACCTAATTTTGGCCCTAAACCGCATTTATATAATTGAGGTTGTCATGAATATAATTAAATTTTGATTTATTTTTGGTTATTTTGATATACCAAATCATAAGTTTGAGATCATCAATAACATAGTTATTTTTTTTAAACGTCTCATTCTCTTAGATAAAATGAAATGACATAAATTATTTTGAAAAATGTTTTAAATCATGTATTCAAACTATCTTTCTCGCTCCTTTAAGAATGCAAGTTTGCAAGTTTTGAATCCATCTGCTTCATTAATAAATTTTAAGCATTAGCTTTCATCTGACCAATGCATTTATTTATTTTCCTAACTGCAAATCCGAACTGTTGGGATGAGTGATCAGAGGCTACAGTGCCAACCCTTGAATAAAGTGTATATTTAATGTGTACAAAAAGTGCACTGCGTTTTTATTTATTTCATTGTATATAAAATAATCTTAAACATATTATTTTTTCAATAGGTGGTGAGATGTTCATCTACTCTTCGCAATAACTTGACATTTCATCTCCTAACAACAACTCTACTTTTTTGTGTCTTGGATATAAGATTGGACGTTTCAGTGGTTGATTTTCATATGTCCTTTAATTTAATTTATTTAATTCCTTAATTTAAAGAGTGATTCTAACTTGTCGAAATATAAAACATCACAATTGCGCAAGATGACTTTCTTTTTTATGCACTGACCTTATTCTTCTTCAAATTAATTTAAATTATTCTAGCTACTTTTTCTAAAATCATAAGCGATTTCGCATTTTATTTGACCATGTTACATTTGAAATGTTTATTTATCTAAAGTTTCTAAGTAAGTTACATAGAAATTTCTTTATAACAACTATTGGGAAACTCTTTTGATTTGTGGACTTTTTCATGCCTACAAAAACACAAAATAATGATAAAAGGTGCCAAATTATTTTTTCTACAATTTGGTCGTTTTCTTCGGTCTGAATACTTTTTTTGAATACTATTTGTTTACATCTAGCGTTCTTCTATAGCTAAATAGTTTTCCTACATCTTTGTCCAGCTTATTTTAGTTGTAACTCTTGAAAACTTTAAAATAACATTGATCCATATATACATGTATCTAAATGCCATAAATTTGCCATTCACACAATTATTGCACATCACAGATTAAAAAAAAAACAACAAAAAACTCGACGTTCTACAGACTGAACCTACCGCTTTCCTGATGGATGACTTCTGACGATATGTATGATTTTCCCCGGGGGATACAATGGGGTGTGGGCAGACAGAGCTATGTCCTCATCAGAGGGGTGAGCCCTAATGTCTCGCTCCATTTCTACCCGAACTTCATCCAAATTCATCTTGCGGGCCTCGGCATTCCCACAACACACTCCTCGAGCAATAATCTTCCACTATAAAAAAGTTTATGACACATGCATGCAATGAATATTTTAAAGTAAAAGCCTCTTCAATATTTTTTTTAAAATTACATGAATTTCAAATGGTATTCATTTTAGATTGTCAATAAATGATTAAAAAAATTAAAGAAATAAAATACAAAGTAAGAGTGTATCAAAACTATTTTGAATGAAATATCTTCGTTACTAATACAAAGGGGGAATGAAAGTCATTATTTCTTTAATGAAGCTTGTAACACCATGTCTCAATCCCCATATTCACGCATGTATATATGTATATGAAATTTAGAATTGGAAGTACATGTTTACAGTTCAGATTTTATCATATTGTTCCTTAACTTTGAAAATTAAGGCTTACAATTAAAAAAAAATTAAAAATAACATAAAATTCTGTAAAGATCAGACTAGACACAGACTATATTTTTTTTCTACTTCATGAAAATGTATTGTGATCTAGCAGAAATAATGTTTTCTCTATATATTTCCTGCAAATTGAAACATTAAATAGCATTCGTACTACATGTATTTCAACTCAAGTTCATAAAATCATTCACTTTGTACCAGTGTATCGATGAATTGAAACACGTCCATTCTGTCTTTGCTATTTTTCATTACCATTGGAGTGGCAGGATCAACTCCAAGATTAATTAAATGGAATATTAAAACCGCGGTGTCAAAAAATGACATTCGAATAAATGAAATTGTCAAATCAAAAATAAAAAAAAATTCTAGTTCTGGAATTTAAATTAATTTAAAATAGCGATTGATGAAAGATACAACTTAATACAGTCATAGAAATAAAAATTCTGAATTAAAAAAAAAATAAAACTTCATTTTTAAACTATGTTTAACACTACTTTTATTAATTTGAAAAGCGGTAAAAACGAGATTCTGAATACCATTCAAACAAAAGGAGAACATGCACAACGTTGATACGTACAAAAATGGTCAAGATATGCAATATCATGTAAATTAAACATTAATAATTTAAATATTTATTTTGAGCTTCTTCCAGTTTTGGATGTAGAAATTTATAATAGCTTTCTTGTATAGGAATGCACTTTGCAGTAAGTCGGAAATTAACCAATTATCAACCAAAAGTTAAACAGTTTTAATTCTCTCCCTGCTGAATAGTACATGAATTTCGTGCACAGCAATAATGATGTTCAAGCTTTTGAAATGTTGGATTTGTAACTAGTGACAGAAATACGACATTTAATTATAAAGCTGTTCAAATTTTCATGACACATGAATTAAAAACTGAACAAGATTTTCGGATTCAATGTACATAGGCTTTTACAAAATAATATCATTGTGTTGATAAAATCTATGTGAACTACTAGCCTGCTTTCCTCACACTATAACGCTAAAATTATTTACCCATCCTATATATTTTTTTTTCTAGCTTAAGAAATGAGAAGGGGGGGGGGTAAAGAAAACCTTACCTTAGGTTCTTTGCTGTTTTTGATAACGTTTATCAAATCAGCTCTCAAAACCTCTAACTGAGACAAACCAATCCTGTATTTAAAAGTAAAAATGAGATGTTTACACTACATTTAAAAATAATAATTATCAAGCAGCTGGATAATTAATGCACAAGATTAATTTAATGACATTATGGGAAAATCTGTTTCAAGTCATAAAATAATCAAAGTTTGTGTAAATCAAAAGTTAAAAATATACTGGTATATTTTATATTTTCTCTATCTTTATTTTGCTATGGAGGTAACATAATTTTCAAAAAAAATAATAACAACGTAATAAAATCTTATGTCTTATCTTCGTTTAAACTTACCGTGGTACAACATCTTTACCAACAACTACAGAAGTAATGAAAGATTTTGTTTCCTCCACACAAGCCTCGCTAAAGGAAAAGGAATTCAAATAAGTCAAAGAGAGTATAGTTTTTTTTACTCATATATTATACATGTAATTCGTATGTACACAATACAGTATTTGTGAAGATTTATGTTTTTATCGCGTGGGATTTCCGGCAAAAAGCGAATGTTTACTTAAAAATCAATTTAAAGTTTTACTGTAAAATCGGTAATTTTTGAAGCGATTTAATTTTCGTTTATGAAAGCCATGCATGCTCACAACGAAATGATCTCGCCAAATCCATATATTTTATCCTAATACCGCAAATATTTGATACCACAAAATCTGTTAAATTAAAGTATATTGAGATGTTCTACATGTATACCAATCTAATAAAACTAGATGTTCCGAATCCACTACCCGCTTCCCACCGTTTGAGAAGCAGAAGCGTATTCGGAACATCTAATTTAAATTAGATTGACATGTATACTACCTTAAAAGTCCACCAGGAGGAGAGAAGGCGTAACAATGTAAATTGGGGAACTCCTGTCTCAGAAGAATAGCTAGAATAGCGGCCGTCCCCGCCCCGAGGGAATGTCCCACTAACACCAGCTCGTATGTTTCATCCACATCTTCCTAGCATACAAGCACAAATTTATTCCAAAGAGAGCTTATATCAGTATAAAGGTGATTATATTAACAATAAAAAGAGATATATTTATTAACTTTTATTATATCAAACATAAATGTATATACAATGTAAAATATTTTAACTTCTAAACTTAAACACCAAAATACAAAAAAGAACATTTCCATTCTCATTATAAAATTATATCTGTGTACAAGCACTAATAAACACATTGAAATATTCTCAAAGTAAATGATGTTGTGTTTGTATAAGCTTTTCTGTTCTAATTTATCTTACACTTTTCATTTATGATGCAATTAAAAAGAAGCAATACCTTGCTGAAAGCTTTGGACAAAAGATTGTCATCCTTTAATCTGTCTTTTATATAAACAGCTGCTTGTACCATACCCTTCAATTGATATTGGAAAGGGAAACAAATTAAAAAGATACCTAACTCCGATGACATTGTTTCTTTCAGACAGTAATGGGATTAGCAAATTTTTATACAGAGAAATCTCCATTGTTGAAATCGCAAACATTTTATGAATGCAGTAAACAAATTTTTAGTGCTTTCGACTTCTGATAATTGTTATATTACTATCACTTATTGCATCGCCTTGTACATTATGTTCAAGCTAAACAGCATATTTACATATGTGTTAATCAATAATAAAAGAACGCATGGGCTGTATGTAATCTTGAAAATACAAATATAATCATTTCATAAGTTTGAAATTAAATTAAATCACAAATATTTCTTTGCTACTGAATAATAATTAATTTTGATTGCTGGTATTTTCTTTTCTCTTGTAGTACATAAAAATATCATAAATCAAGATCAAGCACAGTTAAATCGGGAAATGCTATCAAGTTATTAAGACAAACACTTTAATTATACAATTGATTATCATTATGAACTAATATGACAATGCTTTTGTTTGCTCTGAAAGTCACCTCAAAGTAAGGCACGATTTTGAGGTCAAAAAAGAAGCCCAATCATTGTTTTTGTGAATCTGTGGTACGTGTGGTAATAAAAATCGAATCACGAAATTTAACCAATTAGAAACAAAATATTAGACAAATTATTCTAAATCTTATTCATATCAGTTTAATTCACACCGCAAAGAAAGACAATGTTTTCATATGTAAACATATTATAGTTAATTCTTTCAAAATTAACCACAAAATAATAATCAGGGCACAAAGAAACATTGTAGGCGGATTTCCTTGGTTTGCCGCAGTCATTCATGTGATATACTTCATGACCCTGACATTCATCTAATTTTTCCCGGTTTCTGTGCCCTCTTCAAGCTAAGTTAAAAGGACATAGTACGTTACACTCATCTTCCTTAGCACTTTCTTCAGTAAACAGCCATGATATTGGATATAATGATGGGTCAAATAAAGTAATATAGACGAAATGTAGTGTATATTTCTTATAAAATAGCGTGGAACACTTCAGCATTCAAAACATCGTAACAAGGTCAAAGATTATGATTTTTGTAATGTGAATTTTAAAAATGTCCTCTACAAAAATTTGATTTTTTCCATTAAAATTATACAAATTTTAATTTAAAAATTCAAATTTTTATATGACAAAAAGCCGAGCAACTCAAAATTCATGGTTATATTGAAATGTTTAACATGAATATCTTTGGCATTGGTTCCTTACAGAATGTTTGTTTGCAGATAACGTAAAGGTTTTGAAATGTAAATATAAGCATTATTATAATTTTGAAATGAATATTATCATAACCAGAATGGTGCGCCCAAACAAATTATCATAATGTGCTTTACTTAAGGTAGGATTCTTCTCTGGTTTCTGATTAAATGAAATACACATGTATTCAAAGTATATTTGCTTAGGAGTCTTAAATAATTAGGTGTAAGAGATTTAAAAGATAATATTTTTCTCTCCTCAACACATTTGTACAAATGGTTAACAGAGTTTGAAAACTGACAGGGACCATATTTTTTAACGGTATGCCGCGAATGGTGGCATATGAAAATATTTACTTTTCTGCCACTCAAAATTATCATAGATCAATGAATTTAGTTATAATTTTACATAATCAAAGACTTGAAAAAATGTTCACATGTAAGTTAAATTAAGGATAAATAACACAAACTTTTTTTCAGAAATCAGCTATATATCTCATAGATTTACATTTAAATTGGTAACCTGAATAATGTTTACCATGTATATTGGGAGAATTTTATAAGATTTTGTCATAAGGTTAAAAAATTGTACAAAATTTTGTATAAAATTATGTAGAAAGCAAAAGGAAGTCTCACATCTAAGCACCAAGGAAAACCTACGATTTCCTAATATTTCAGGGATTTAATATTTGTCATTTCAAATCAAAGTCAGTCAAAAAAAATATATCAATCCATGCATAAAATTTTTTGTTTGTGTTAAGTACCCTTAATAATAAGGGACTAAAGTTTCCAAATATATCCAAAAAAAAAAAAAATAAGAACTATGTTAGCTTTTAAAAGCTTTCAATCTAAGTACAGATTTGAGCCAAAAATCCATAAAAAGTATTTTTCTCTCTTAGTAAACGATCAGTTTTTTTTCCTTTTGTATCATTTTGTATCTCTATGTGACTTCACTATACGTGAAAATAAGAAAAATTTAAAGATAGGAAGCTCATGTATCCTAAAAAAATTAGAAAAATAGAGGAAATTCGGATTAGCCAATATCCATTTTAGTTTTATTATCTATGTCAATTTGGTAATCTCATGTTTTAGACCCAATATGATAGTATCTTATTATGCAAAAAGAAAAACATTCAATCTATTGAAATGGATTCAGGCATCGGGTATTTGACAACAGTATTCTTTATTCGAAATGTCAAGGGAAAAGGTAATGACCTTGACCTGACCTTGCCTCTAATATAAAAGGTCAAATTTAATCTCACCGATACCATCATTTTGTGATATTGTCTTCTTAATTCTGTGAAAATTTCATTAATTTTTAAATACAAGAAATATGAGAAGAATCCTGCCAAACATTGCTGCAGTTATAATTACTACATCGTTCAAAAAAGTACTAATAATTCAATGGATAATTCAAAAACCTTTTCGCTGAAAAAAATAACTTTTATTACAACGAGAAGGTAAAAAAAATCTTATATAAGTTTAGATGGAGGATTGTAATACATTCAATATGCATTACAAGCATTTACTAGATTAAAAAAAATCACCAAAAATACGTTTATTACAACAATGAGCATTCTAAATAAATTAGAAGTTCAAGAATGTTTACAGGGAATTGATTAATTGTGTTCTGGCATTGTTTTGCACACCTGCTTAGAATAAGAGTACATACCTTGTGGCCTACCCAGGCCTCAATTGGCGGATTCAACGGAAGAATCTCTGCATCAGCTTTCAAATCAGTCAATACGTCCTGTTTTAATGTCAAATTATTTCAACTTAAAGAATCAAATAGCACAAATAGAAGTATCTCTTTAACAATAAAAAATTATCAAATCTATATAGCTTGATAGAATTATCTGTATAATTTTCGTAAAATTCACAAAATTTCAACTGACAAGTTATAAACAAGACTTTCTTAAATATCATTTTCCCTAAAGCATTTTCTATTCTTATTAAATATAGTTATCCTCTCTACATTTAATAAGTAATAACAGACCACTCTTTTCATTGTCATGCCTGCTGATGACAACAAAATGAGGTTTAACATAATAAAATTTTAATTTTGACTTTCTTCAGGTTTTTCTATATTTCTTTGTTTTCGAAATTTCTACAGTTTAACTTGATAATGACGTTAATATCCACATATTTATAGTCACATCATTCACAAAATAGTTCAACATTAAAAGTTTTTGAAGTAAATTGCAAAGATGGCTTTATTCTAAAACTAAAAATAAAACAACAAAATATATGCATATATATATATTTATTTATGAGTCCTTAGACGCTACAATTATAGTAATTTTCTATAAATTCAATATTACCTGTAGTGAAGTAGTTCCCCGGACACAAATTACCACCGTCTTGTATTTATGATCTATGGCGACATAAAACGGCGTTTCTCCTATCTAAAATACAATATGGGAATCAACAGCGAAGGAGAGACAATCCGTATCTGTTTTTCAAACATACTAAGTGTAATGTAATGTAAAGTAAAAAGAGAATAACGTTTGTCATTCGTATTCAATGATCTTTTTCGTTAAAATTTACTTGAACATTTATTTTTCAAGAAGGAAGATTAAAACGTGCCAAATGATAAGACAAAGGTACCTACATCAACATGATATGTGGCATACACGATGTCACACTCCCTTAGCTGGCTGAGTTTTAACAAGGCTACAAAGTTACACTGACAACAGTTATCCTGTACATACTCCAATAAAGGCTTGTTTACACAACAGCAACACCTGAAAAGTAAATGAAAAATAAAAGCTTATTTTCTCCGCTGCTTCTTTTAAATTGCGTCTAATGATCAATTGCATGCCGTAAAATAAACGGGAATTTGATAATAAAAGCGCTTAAAATTATATTACTTAATTGAAAGAACAATGGAAGGAAATTTCTTCTACCCTCTTCTTCTTCTTCATATTTTTTAAATCTTCTATATAACTCAATTGAAATGGTAAAAACAATATTGCAATGATCGGAAAAAATATTTGCATGTCCATTTTAGCTTTGAAAGCCAAGTGCTTTGATTTGCTTCTTTCCTCATTTGCAAACCTAAGCCTAATTTCACTTTTAGAAAGAAAAAAATTAGAGCCTCGTCATTTATATATGTCTTCTATGTATTGTAATTTATGTGTATATTTTCAAGAGACCGAATGCAGACAACCAACTGAATAAACTTTGAACTCTGTAAAATAGCTTTGGCAAAAGGCATATACATTTGGCTAAAGGCAACAACAGTCAATCATGCATGAAATAAATCCCCCGTTTAAATCTATGCACGTTTTTGTTAACCTTTTGTTGTTAAGCCCTATTACAAAAACTTATCAAGTAAAGACGCTGTTTTTTCTATCTCATTTAAAATTAGACAACACTAAAACTTCTTCAACACTTGCTTCAAAATAAAAGGTTGACACAAGCTTTAGTACCTGAGCTTGGGAAGAAGTCCGCAACAGTTGGCGTCCGTCTTCATCATAACCACGGCAGGCCAGCCGTAGGCTGCTAGAGCTAGGCGCATGTAATGGATCACCTTCTGGTACTCCGCTAACTCATTCGGTTGACTCAGTTGTAAGAAGGACGTGGTAGGTGTGATAGGGGTCCCAGACAGGTGATCACATATAACGTTATTTTCCTAGAAAGGAAGTAGTGGTTATTTTTAATTATGCTTTATTTGTTTTACCCTCGCAGGGGAGTTATAAGGGATATAGTAACGCTCTTATTATGTGTGTATTAGTTTGTTTTGTTTTTTTGTGGAAAGGAAAATACGTTAAATGCATGAGGGACGATGTCAAATGCTGTCTTCATATAAAGATATGAAATTTCGATGGTGCAAAATGTAGGCTGCACTTTGCGGTTTGTTTTTTTTTCTTCAAAAATACAGATGAGCTACCGTATAAAGTATATTTGCGGTTTGCGGTTATCCATTTTTTCCGGATGTTTGCAGATGAAACGAATCCGCAAAAATATTACTTTAAAATGAATTCATACACCAGGTATTTGGATATGTAGATACGTTAGTAAACCTCATTTAATGTTATTTCATTACTCTTTACTCCATAGCCTTTAAAGAATTAATTATGTTTACGTCTGTTTGTAGCTGCAGATCTGTAGTGTTATGATTTTATATATATATATTAGTCTTTGCAATTAGCCGCAACATGGACAAAGACTAATAAATATTAATCCATAATGCTACAGTTTTACAGCTAGTATGTTTGATATAGATACCAGCATCACTCCAAACTCCATTAAAGATTCTTCTGTTAAAATAATATCAAAATGAAACTGTTTCTTAAATATCCAACATCCTTTCACTTTATCGAGTAAATCAAATCGCCCATCTGTATGTACTTTCAGTATCATTATGTACAGGCACAGGCAACTGTTAATTGATATCATCAATACCTAAATCTGACGTATATTTAACAGACATTTTCCTTTATTAAACATATTTTACTAAATATTTTGCAACTCAAGAAAAGGGCAAGAAAGGGTATGACCCCTTTTTGGCCCCCGATTTTGGGTGTCTTTCAGAATGATGCAAAAGTTTATAAATAAAAACCTGTTGTCATCCCTGCCACCAAATGAGTATTGTTTCTAAGTTTTGAAATACACAAAGGTCACAACTAGCTGCAGATCTTTAGCACATTGAAAAAACTGTATATTTATTGCGCACAAAAAAGTGCGCTCGTTTCTTGATTAATTCTTCCAAATTCTTACCTCAATTGCCAAAACCAAAACATGCAAAATGGCAGTATGAATAAGCGAAATGTCCGATGATTGCAATATCAGGGCCAGGAGGACTATTAACAACAATTATGAGGAATGTTTTGTTGTGGAAAGAGTCAAAGAATATGTTATGAACACACGGTTAGTAATATTTTGAGATTACAGCTTTAAAAACATGGAGAAATAAATCGAGAACCGAGCGCATTTTTTTGTGCGCAATAAATATACAGTTTTTTCAATGGGTGGCTCTGTAGCTCTCCGGTCTATCAATAATTTTTTTTCCGAGAGTTACAGATCTGCAGCTAGGTCACAACAAGATCAGAAAATTTATCAATTTTCGAATTTTCTCATTTTATACAAATTTTCATCCATTTTACAGCACATTTTGTTTCAGCATTGAGCACAAGCTTGCCTATCTACCAAATTTATATATTTCATATACAAGTATCAGATGCAGTTTATGTGTAAAAATCTCTTATAGGCAAGCTTGTGCTCTATGTTTTCCAAAGAGAAAAATATCTCAAATATGATGAAATTCTACCACAATTGAGCAAATTCGGGAAAATGCCCTACTTCTGCACCCTACAGTGGCATCAAATAAGGGGCCACATTCGCCCGTTACCCATCTTGTCCTTTCCCTTTAATTTTTGTTTATCTTTCGAAAGAATTTAACTTTTCCCGAAAATACGTTATGCATGTATTTAGCATTTTAAGAACTCTTAAACTCGAAAAACCCTATTTATGCAAAAGGTTGACTTGTGCTGGATTGCTATGAATAAACGATGAAGTCTCTTTCAAAATACCACACCCTCCTAGATTCACTTTTTCTCTTCTTCCTCTTACAACCTCTTGTGAAATATATAAGAAAGTCAGTCAAATATAACTTTCGCGTTGTTGTCACCGGAATAAACGCCAATTACAAGAGTAATTTAACTCTTAAAATCAAGGTGAAAATTGGAACTCTTTTGCAAAAACCGGGAAATATTTTAATTTTTACTTAACAATGAAAAATTTATATCATTTAGCAAAAAGCCAGTGATTACATACAATCTTCGATTCATTCTATCATATATCCTTTTTGCTGTTGTCCTTCCTTCAATTTAATAATGCGTTTCCTATTCTTCTGGGAATATTAAAGCGATAAAGAGATGGCAGTCACCATTTACAGTATTATGTTTTCAAGGGAAAGCAAAAAAATCATTGGTTGGGAGTCTGATGTACATTCTACAAACAAAATACCTCAGAGACTGCAAGCAGTCATTAAAGATTTCAGTTCTGTTTATTTGAACGCAAAAAGCTCATTGTAGTAATAATACAAAGTCAATGAATAATAGTATTTTTATTATTTATTCTGCCTGAAAGCCTCTTTACTACGACAACAGGGAATTTTCTTGAACCTCAATTAATACTTTTAGGAAGAAACTAAAAGACAAAAAGAAATCTCCAATAATTTAATTAAATTTCAATAATCTTAAATTATATCATATAAACCTGTAAAAAAGGAGAAAAGGGGGGATGTATATACTTAAAATTATATTTCTTAATCTATCAATAAATTTGAAATAGATTTTTTCATCCATTCGAAGTATTAGTATTCAACTTCGAATTTTGAGTTTATTTTCATTAATCACTTTAAAATTTGAAATAATCATTCATAAGTGTATAAAAAAAAAAAGATGATGCAGAACTGTCATTTAAAATATATTTACACATCTAAGATTAAATATGTATATAAAATAAAATACAAATTATCTTCACATCACTCCTTACTGTTCAGTTTTAAAGGAAAAGTGACAAGAAGAAAGGGTTGTTTAATGAAAAAAATGACAAGCACTGTGAAAATGTCGCCAGCTTATCTTTATTTGAAAAACTGATCTTGTAAGCAGTCTTCAACCTCAACACATTATTGGCTAAATTAAATTTCAGGGTGAAAGGCCAATATTAATATTCAGGAAAGGGGTTCTAGGTCATCATATTTTGAAATAATTCATGAAGTGATTTAACTCATTTGACAGTTAAAAGTTTCGTACCTTTCATATACTTATTGCAGTATGACAAACATATGACAATTAATTGCAGTTTTCATTGCAATACAAATTATGGCTATAAAGGATTTTCCATGCAAATATTAATTCTTAACATATATTTAAATTAAAGACTGTTCTATTTTTTTTATTTTTGCTTGCACTCTTTTGCTGAAATAATAAAACGTGTGCATGAGTGATCTGAATAAGCTCTACAAGGAGCTTAGAAATCTATATCAATTTCACTTAACCAACCTGAGACACAACATGTCTCCTCCGTAGACTTTGGTAGTGCCGTAACAAGACAAACCCCGCAATAACATCAGATGGCACGACATCCAAATCTCGGAAAAACTCGGTAAACAACTTGGCTATCTCCGCAATGGTGTTCTGAAAATTGAAAGATATTAACTTCGTATTTCATATTTGAGGGCAATAATTATTTTTAATAAGCAATTGAACTTGCTAAAACAGAGAAATGTACACATTTGAAATAAAGTATTTATTATCTCCGTCAAACTTGCAAAAATTCGTTTCAAAAATGTGAAAACAAATTGAGAAATAATGCAGAAAAACAACTGTTAAAAGTCTTCATTTCTGGCAAAAAATCTCAAATAAGGGATAGATGCACATCTGTTACTATTGAAAGGTAAGAAACGATTATTACATGTAGACGAATTGATAATTATGACGATCAGTATATTCAAATCTGCTTTTACGGTCTAAAAGTGAAAATGACGAAAAACTTTAAATATGCATGTACATATATGTACAGCTCAACACACTTTTTAAGCTCAGACACATGGTTTTTCGCACAAATTAAGGTCACATTGTTTTAATGTAATATTGTGTATTGAGACATCAAAATACATTTTAAAAGTATTTGTTTACATTATTTGAGTATTATTTCATTTACTAAAACATAATTCATACAAATCAATTGCTAGAACTTTTATATATTTTTGGCTGAAAAATAACAACTATTCCCATTTGATTTTTTGTAGTTTCTTGCCAATTGCAGGTGTCTTTTTATCCGTTCTTTTGAAAGCAGTAACTCTTTGCACAAACATAGTCACAGGCACAGTACAGCTACTGTAACTTGTATTTTCTGTACATTCTGACTCTTTATCGCAGGGTGATAATATTATTTTTCATTTATTTGACTGCTTTGTATGTTTATAAGATGGTATTTTTCACTAGAATCATGAAAGATTCATCCCGCAGCAAAAATTCAACGTTTTAAACCGTAAATGCAGAAAAAATTTTCTTTTCATAGAAAAAAATTACTATTTGAAAAAATAAAACAATAATTCATTATCCTACCCCTGTAGTATGGTTTCTTTCTGCAATGTTATCCCTTTTTGGTGCTACATTTCGACTAAACCAAGATGAGTATGGTAAATGAGCAAAGAATTTTAAGAAATACTCACCTTTCAGAAGAAAATTTAAAATTTTCAACTACATTGTATCAAAGAAAGCATGCTTTATATTATTTTTAAAAAAATCTATGGTAGAGGCCTATAGTAGAAACATTGTACCATTTATTGATAAATTCCCCTCTAAAACACCCACTTTGGAAACTTTAGATAATAATTTTAAAGAACATTTATTCTTGTTCTTGACATATATGTAATATAACGTAGGGCTATTTATTCGTTCTGAGGTTCGAAAATAGTAATTTTTATTACAAGAATGTGACCTTAATTTGTGCGAAAAACCATGTGAGCTTAAAATGTGCGTTGAGCTGTATATGAATCTAGTGAGAATAAAGAATATTAGCTTATTCATCCTCGCTAGCCAAGGGTTTCTGATACGCTACTCTGCCTATGAGGAGGGTGGCGTATCAGAAACCCTTGGCTAGCGAAGATGTTACTATCCTATAAAAAATATGTTAAATGTAAAATGTCTTGGTAAGAAACTTAGCAAACTATCATTTCATATTTTTATTCATGGTACATAAAGAATCAGGTGTTAATTCTTTTAGAATATACTTCTTATATAGTATATTTATCATGGATCTGATTAAGGATTAGGAGGCACTGAATCCAACTGGGCAGAAATAGTACGATTTGTAAATGATATGATTATGAAATACATTGTACGATGGAATTGACAAAAGATATACCGCTTATTATACCCCCCGCTTGAAAAGTGGGAGGGTATATAGTAATCGGGATTTCCGTCTGTCTGTACGTCTGTCCGCCCGTCTGTCTGTCCGTCCGTCCATCTGTTACGCTTTGGGGTACCCATCTCTTATCCGCAACTCCTCTCATACCACTCAATGAAATTTGATGAAACTTTCACAGATTCTTTATTACATATTGCCATTGTGCACCTCCTATTTTACTTTTTGATATGACATATATTTTGGATTTTCTAGAGCAAAACATGGACACTGCCATTTTATTCATATGGGAGGCGGGGGGTATCATTTAGTGAGCTCATTGCTCACAGTACCTCTAGTTTAAATTTAAGAATATTTCAAATATTTTTCATTATTTTAAAGAACTGAGTTATTTTCAGAAGAAAAAAAACCTTTCTCAACCTCACGAGAAAAATTTCTTAAACAAATCACTTTAAGATTTTGTAAGTGCACTTCATTAAACGATACAATTGCTTACACCGGAGTAACTAGTATATACGCACTTAGCCCAAATTTAGTGCGCCCTCTGTTGACTTCTCGATTACAAAGGAAATAGCATATAGTTAAAAGAGAAGTCTCCCTTGGTAAAACACGTACGGGTTCATCTAAGAGTGGTTTTCCTGCACTTGACATAAGAAGAGCATTGAAGTGTCGACGCATTTCTCATCATTCTTACTCCCATCAAGGAAGATCTTTCAGAGGAGTACACAAATACTCGACTAGAAAATTGCTCGAAAATAAAATCTCATCACGTCAACCTCTTCGGAAGAGACCAGACAAATACTCAGCCTTGTACATCAAGAATTAAACGCTACAGAAATCCAATTTCTCAGTATTCTCCAGAAAATTTCCTTGGAATGTCTGTGTATAATGCATTTGGGATTCTGTGCTGACGCTTAATTTAACAAGTTCTCTAGTAATGAGACGATTTTTTACTGGTGACAATTTCAAGGAAGAAGTCAGGCCTTCCGTAATAAGATATTGGAAGCCATCCATCTTAACAAGTGCTCTTTACATGAAAAGCTGGGTTAATACTATTTAACGTTTAACTTAACTTCTCGTTACTGAAACGTCTCAAATAATACATGACATGTCAATAAGGTTTAAGAAACAGCGTTGGATAACTGTCAATCATGTTCAACAACAGCAATTTAAGCCTATCGAATTTGCACTGTTCTAATGCTTTTTTATTTTTTTTTATAGAAATACATGAATTAAAAGCAATAGTTTAACAATCTGAATTTAGATGCATGGTGTGTGTGATATTAATTAACGCTGTATTTTTATGACAGTCTCTATTGGAAAGGCAAAGAATGCAATCTGGATATAGAACTTGCTTAACGTTCGACTCATTTATCTTCTACTTTTGTGACACGCAACCTGTTACTTGAAGAAAAGAATGTAATCATTCATTCTTAAACATTTTCGATGCAACTGAAGAATAATCAATCAAGTACATTGTAGCTAGAGTGTATTATAAAAAGACGCTGGTCAAAAGAAAATGCTGCTTCATACCATTAATTGTTACGATTCCAGTTAAAGAAAATTAATAATGAACCCCTCCTCCTCCAAAAAAATGTATCTGGTTTTCCAATACCATGGAAATAGACAACGTCAAGTAGCAGATGGTGCCCTATATATCTTTTTACCAATAAGCTTAGGGCCATTTTCTTGAAAAATTTCATCACTCGGCGCTATCTACTGACACAATATCAATAAAAGATTTCAGTGCCACATAAAAGACTTGGGAAAAATAACAATGGTGTGTCGTTACAATGCAGATTTACCCTATTGTTATTTTTTCTTTCCACACAGCAACACAAGAGGTTGAAGCGTCGGTCCCAGCTTTCTTCATAGGCCCTTATAGTCTTCCTATAAAGAGATATCAATGTGAATGACACCTTAAGAAAACAAGTATCACAAAATTGGTCTAAGGAAAGCGGACTCCCTTTGTAGATGAGGACGTGAAAACAGGTTTCAAATTTTCTAATGATACTGTGTACAATTTTGTTACACGTATGTTATTTCATTGCAATGAAGATGATTCCTCTATCTTATGTGTTGGAATTCCACCATCTTACACAAAAGTAGCCATTAATACAGTAATGTTTTAATTTCTATCTTAATACTGGTCCAGATTTCAATTGAAAATCATCGTCAACAAGTCAAATCATACAGATACAATTTATATTATATAGAACACAGATGATTTAATTATACAGATTATCAGATTCATGTAAATGAAAATGATCACTATTACTAAACCTTTTATGCTGTTTATAAAAATAAGTCTCAAACAAACATATTAAGACCAACTTCATACTAGCATCAATATGCATTTATTTAGAGGTTTTCGTATTAGAATCAGTGATTAAATTCATATATATATATATATATATATATATATATATATATATATATATATATATATATATATATATATATATATATATATATATATATATATATACATTTATGTCTAAAGCATATAATGCAATTGGTTAATTGTATTTTAGCATATCTTTAAATTCATATTTTCTATCGCTGAAAATCAATCATATTGATTTTCTAGCATTTAAATTATAAAAAATAACATTATAAGCATGCAAATTTTGTTATAAATGTCAAAAGTTTCGAGAAATAATAAAAAATCCTTTAAACATTGTACTCAATAAAGCTTCAAATATCGGCAATTGCAATTATTGAAATGTTACAATTTTTAAGATGCAAATGCAAGTCAGACTGGATTTCTTAGTTAATGTTTTTTCCCGTTCCCTTCAGTGTGTTGTTGTAATATAGAAAGAAGAAAAAAGGTAAGAAGGTTAGTAAAAGTCATAAGCAGACCATATTAGGCATAAATGACTATCTACAAAGCTTTTTAAAGAAATTTACAGAATCTTGCATGGTAACGATCTCTTTTGAAGCTGTTCAAACGATCCTTTATTACAAGTATACAGCAGCAATTTTTTTCAAGAATACCTACTGGTTTTAGTCATCTCTAATAATCTTTTGGACCATGTTCAATTGACGTACATGTGTATACAAACAGTTTTTAATTCATTAAATTAAATATTTTGACTTTCAGACATTGCTTTGAAAAGATTGTACGAAATATGTCATATGATAGATACTATCATGAATCAGGACAGCCCTTAGGTCAGCATACAATTTTTAAAGTGTATAATTAGTAAAAATATATAATTAAGAACCCTCACATGTGCTATAGAAACACGTTTCAAAAGACCTTTGCATGGAAAACGCAAAGGTTTAAGGCTAATCTTTGTTTATTTGTATGTTGTTTAACGTTCCCCTCGATAATTTTTCACTCATATGGAGACGCCGCCATGCCACTTGCCGGCAAATATTGTTTCATACATGGCACTTTTGAGCAGTGAGAGATCTTTATCGGACCAGTGCCTTCTGCAACACGGAACCTCGGTGTCAACAATCTTATCCGAAAGACCGGTCTCTATGTCCAGCAGTAGCCTCGTCTTTGTTATTCCGTATTCATATTGTGATGAATAAAGTTGCATATAATTTTATTAATTAATTGTAATTAGTGACGGTTATTTAACATATGATTAGATGTCTTCTTACTTGATTTGCACAAAGTACAAGCTTGATTTTTTTTTTTTTTTTTTTTTTTTTTTTGGAAAAAAAATTAGTTTGCAATATAAACCTGATCAATCTCAAGGCAACAATGGCAACGTTGTCATAATTATAAAAACTATCCATGCAACACAGAATAAGGAAAGGTCTGTTCCTCGCTAAAATTTCACTATTAGATTGGTGTTTCCAAATTCATTAAAATATGTGTTATTCTACTGAAAATATGGTAATTATTAGATTAATTCAATGATAGTTGCAATTTGTGAAATTAAGCCACTAATGAAAGAAGTTATATTTGTTATTGGTCATTACCGCTACAATTGAATTAAAGTAGGATGCTTTTTTTACATTTCATTTTTATTTAAAATCTATTTTATACCTCGTATAGTACAATATAGTACAATATATAGCTGTAATCAAATGTTTTCGACTGATTCAATAAGTAGCGGTAATGAGTCGTTTTCGGTCAAAATAATGTAGCGGTAATGATCGTTCGAAAATTTGAAAATTAAATGCAATTTTTGACAATATAGCGGTAACGTTGGCTTTCTGACAATGTCATTAAAAAATAATTTTCCTTGATGAAATGAACCAAAACTCTATTGACCCGTTCAGAAATTCTATCTCAATGGTCTCGTTGATAATATACCCTGGTATATATTTTTTTCTAAATGTTTACAAATCAAAATTGTCCAATCAATGAATTCAAAGTACTTCAGTTCAGAACATCAATTGCCTTAATTTGCTAAAGAATGTCACATATGCATCTAACTCTTATCTTTTACATATAAATATTCATTAGAATAACTTGAAAATTATCAATTTATAACATGTGTAAATAAAACATATTCAACAGAAAAAGGGTTAGTTAGTGTATAAATACTTGATACATACACCACTTTCAAATATGCAAACATAAAAGGTTAGGTCATATATTAAGCAATATTATGCTGATTAACGGAAACCTAGCGTGAAAGTGTAAAATGTTAAGCAATATCATGCATAGAAACAGTGCATGCTATATTTATACTGAAACAAGATAAATACTAAAAGGACTTAGGGCAAGGGCCACAACGCTCACCTTATTTTCTGACACTTCTCATTTAAATCAACAGTTCGAACGTTCATTTTTAATTAAAAGGTTGTTATTACAGCAGAATGCTGAAAATAGTCATTGTGTAGATGTGGAGAATAAAATGAGTTTTGCCCACATATGCATATACTTGCGTGCTCTTACGATGAGTGATAAGCCTGAGTTTATTGAAACAGCTTAGGCATACATTTCATAATTTCAATGCTTTAAAACTCAGTATAAAATTATTTAAATAGACTTAGTGAAAACAAGATGAATTAATAAAGTTAATTTGAAACTATCCCATTCATGTGTGTTTTTGTTTTGACTTTTGTTTTTTTTTTTTCAGTGGGGACAAATATCTTCACATTTTTTTTTATATTATGGAGATGAAAATATACGTACAAAGGACATGCGTGCTTGAGGCTCTGCTATAAATCATATTCAAAGTTTCTTCAAAACACAGGCATCCAAGTGCACTGCAATTATATTTATTTCAAATTCATTGGCTGTAACTTGATGAATATACATGTACTTTTTCAGTTTTTAGCAAAACCGGACGTAATTTAGGATATGAGTAGTATAATATTTTCCCTCAATAAAATACTATAAAAACTGAATGCAAGAGTGTGCACAAGTGTGGAATTCTGACTGGCTAAATGTGTTTTGTGAGACACTTAAATTTAAGATGAAAAAAATGACAACTTTTTGAACTCATGCAGAGAAATCCGATTGTCTAATATTCATATAAATACACTATATGACATTATGGGAACCAAAAAAAGTACTTAAGTAAACGAAGACAAGTTTTACTTTACGAAATGTTTGTCTAATGTATCGAAGATTGTAAGAAATGGGTTCAAAACAGGATGTGGGGAACTATTTGGCAACATCTGTTACACAGCTCTCATTAAAATAAATATTTGTTATTTAAAATAAAAGAACCACGTTTGTGTATCAATACCTTAACGCCTCTTAGCAAGTCGCCTGAAAAGATTTATTGAGCATTGTCCCTTCGTGTATCTTCCATCAATGAAACACTGTATGTGTACTTCAAAAACGGGGCTTCAATATTTTAGGTGTTTGGGCTCAGACAACTGTGCACTAAATTATGATTACAGCTAAGAAATCATTTATATAAATATACAATGTAAGGCATGAATTTGTGTAGCGCCAATTCATGATTAGGTTAACAACTCCATAACCAGTAATTTCGCTTAATTTTGAAAACACCAATTGATGTACACGTAGTATTAAAACTCAACATACTGAATCCTACTTTTAAGTATTACTTATACATACATGAATAATAAACTTAAAATATAATGGCCTTATTGATTTTTTGTGAAAAAAAAACAAGGTAGTTTTTGCAGAAAAAATAACACTACCTGCCCAAACATCTTTTTCCTGCAAATACAGATTTAATCATATATATAGCAGTGCAAGGGGAGTCAAAAGTTGACTACTGCTTAACTAAATATTTTAACAATATACCCATTAAACTATACTTGCACATTATCTTTGATAGCCACAGTAAATAAAACGTGTAAAATTGCGTATTTTCAAGGATATTTGGAGCAGTTTCCTGGTTTTGCTTCGATATAATCACCATACTTTTGGAGATGCAATGTATATTTTGAAGAAACAAAATCAAGAAAATGAGAGTTAGACGACAATAGACGGTTTGATCAGAAATCTTTAAAAGTGCACTTGCCTGAGGAAATCTTAATATGATGTGCAAAATAAAATAGAAAATATACCTGTGGGATTTGAGATAGGCTGAAAACAATCGAAGGATACTACGCCTAAATAACAAAAGAATGAAATGCATCAGCTTTATCAGAATAAGAAAAGAATATCCAGTACAATTGAAAATGTACATAAACGTGTATCAATTTAAGTGATTTTTTTTTTTTTTTTTTTTGGTTTTGGTTTTTATCTTCGAATTCAATCTGTTATTTGTTGGGGTTTTTTTTTTATCTTGTAATTCAAATAAACAAATATGTGAATTAAAAAATTTTCGACTTGGATATTTTTTTCTTACAAATATCAGTTATTGCAAATAAAACAGAAGTATAGTTAACAACATGTCTAACACCTTGCATCATGCTCATCTCAATACCGAATTGTACACTGCAAACAAACCAGTACATTAGAATTTCCAAGATGTTCTACACCTGTTCTTAATAGGCAGAAGTTAATTTCAGTCAATTGTATGTTTGAGATGGATGGCATTTTCTCTAAAAAAAAAAAAACAAACATCTTCCCCACTTCAATGAAAGATCTGATTGTTTTCATAATATAATGGAATTAAACATATGTTTGGGATATCTGAAGTGTGTTTGCAGAATCAAATGTCATGCAATCAGATGGGAACTACCTGCAACTTCAGAATACAACAAAACAGGCATTATCATGCAGGATGCAAACTATTATCGTAAATTGGGGAGCCCAAAAAGTGCAATCGACACATTTCTCTCTTTCTATCATTGGCGCTAAAATATGATTTATCTTTTTTGTTTTGCATCTCAAATAATGTTGAAATACATTGAAATGTAAGAAAATGATATTTAAAAGAACCAAAGTGTACCATATTTAGAAAAAAAGGTTAAAAACTTTCTAGATAATTTCAGGTTATCAACCAAATGTTGAATAAAACAAAATTTGTTTTTGAAATCAAGATTTACTAAGTGTATATTTATATCAATGTCCTAGTATATTGATTCAACTTAAAATCATACAATTGTCGGAATAAGGTGGAGAAAAAAATCAGGATGCATTTTCACAAAAGTATTGTAAATATACTAATGGATACATGCAGTGAAACAAAATGTAAATGAAAAGAAATGTAGATGCAAAATAATAAAAGCAACAGATGCATATTATACTTCATTGCAAACTTGTATTTAATATTGTCCTAAAATCTTTGAGATGGAATTTGTATCAAATAATGATATAATGCTTCAACAGATTAACAACTTCTTCCAGGTGTGTTTATGAATAAATGTACTTTATTTCATAAACACTTTCAAAAGGTCTTACCCAAACGGTAATTTCAATAATGAGCAAATGATAAAAATATACAAATCATGACTTTAAGGAAGGCACAATTTTGCTTTTTTGAAAAAAAAAAAAAGAAAAAAAGAAAATACATAATTAACATGATTAAGCAAATGTAATAATTTCTCCTCCGCTTAAAAAAATGATCAAACAATAATTTTTATATAGGTTCATGTCTATTCAATTATAAACACTTCAGAACTTTGATTGTCAGGAAATATATATTTCCTTTTTAAATGAATTTGCTATTAATTGCCTACTGAAATGAATAGTCAAGACTGTCATAAATTATGACATATCTACAACATTTTACTTAAAGTACTGTAGCCTACATTTGAGCATGTGTCAGAAAGGTTTCTTTAAAAATCAAGTTCCTTTTTTCATTGCAAGCACTGTGTGAATGTCATTTTATCAAAGTATTTTTGAAAATTAAAATTGTATTTATAAAATTCATCAAGTCAGTTCAATAAACATGAAAAATGACATCAAAGGACCTGAAAATAAGTTTACAAAATAATCTTGAATCCTGTAAAATTTGACTTGTAAAACATTGTTCTTGTTATTCCTCATTAATTAATGTTTAAGTTTTGTAATTGAATCTTGGGTTCAATTTGACTGGAATGTGAATCTGCATATTCCTTTATCAGTCTGTATCGGCAATTTATATATTCTGTAACATATTTGTATACATCATGCATGCATAATGGAAATCAACTGGACACAAATGAATATTAACTCTGACCAGTTAAAATAAATATACATACATGTATAATGAATCTGATAAATGATATGTAGTACTTTAATGAATAGATGCAATATCTTGAATCAGCTAATAGGTCAAGTAATGCAAAACTTAAATTTAATTTTGTCTGACATTTTGGTTATTTAGTTTCTATACAAGGGACATGCCATAACAGCTTTTTATATATTGTTTTATGCCATAAAATCAATGCTGATTCAATCATCATGTCAATGTACCTTCTTGGTAGAGGTTGCACCAACAAAAAGAATGGAACTAATATCTCAAAAAGTCCCATTTTGCTGAAAATTGATATATTGAAATAAATACCCATTTCAAAGAAATGTGAATAAGACATGACTTTAACTTCTATTCAGATTATTACTGTATGATCAGTATAATCATGTTTTTAGCATTGTTTGCAGATTTCTTATATCAGTGTATCTTTTGAGATTGTCCACTGTTTGCTATCTTTAACATTTAAGAACATAAGTTCCTTATTAATCCTAAGTGAAAAAATCCAATTATAAAACCCATATCATAACATTCTTGTTGTCTAGTCCATACCTGGTGTTGATACTTTTAAAAAAGATCATCAAGGGTAACCTAGTAATGGAATGAAAATTATTATTTTTTATACATTTGGTTTTTGTAAATATCCCTATTAGATGCCTCCTTCTGGTATTAAAATAAGGCTACAACACAACATATGAATCTTTTGGATTTCAAGGGCATGCTACTACTCATGTGTAGAATTTGACTGGTATACGTAGCCAAATAATAAAACAAGGGCAAAACATACTGATAATACTGAAATGAAACAGACATATACACTGTATGTATATTCAATGAAATGTTGAAGTTTCCATTTCATTCCCCCTATATTATCACTTCAAATGAATAAATTAGGATAATGCAAAATTACATTGAACAAAATTATAAGATAGGTATTTGGTAGGTCATGAATATTGTTTGATAATATATTGAATGTCTGACACAAATAAATGGTTTAAGTATTGGTGAAACAGTCAGGAAAATATAAATGTACATGTATCAAAAATGGTATTAATTGAAAGTTCTCATTTTCTATGATGATCTGACATGACATTCATCTAAATCCATTGCATACAGAAATCTTGGGCTTGTAGAAATCTTAACTTTTGAACACCTCTCAGTTTAAATAGAAATTATTTAATAAAGAACTGATCAAAAATTAAGAAGACAGTTTGTAACAAGATTCTGTATACCTTAAGTTCATAGTAAAACTAGGGTATAAAGACCAAGCTTATTTTTAGGTCTTTAGGTTACAAAATTTTTTTTAACCAATTTAGTAAAAGAATTCTTCATGTTCAGGTTTTGGACATCATAGAGGAATGTTTCATGGACTTTTTGTGCAAACTTTGTAGGAATATCATAATGAAGTCAAGAGAACTTTAACTTGGTATGATGAAGTTGTTACATAAACTGTTCCAAAATGCTAATGTGTAACTTGATTATGATAATACGTGTATTGCAGCATTATATATACCATTTATTTGTGAATAAAATTTTGTATAAATAAAATATATATATACTGTGATATCACTAACTTTTGTGGGGGTTTAATTTTCGTGGTTTTCATGGTATGAAGAGGTCCACAAATTTATGTCCACCATGCAAATGCAATTTTTTCACATATATTACTACTGAACAATTCCTCAACAACGAAATCAACTCCCCATGAACCAATATATTTTTCTCGAACCATGAGAGTTTGACCCCTCAAAAATATGTGATTTTACAGTACCGTACTCGGTATTTTGACCTATTATCACCAATACCATTAAGCATCCATTTCCATCATTCTATCTGTTATCAAACAATGATCAAGACTCTTCAAATTCCCCTCCCAGTAGACAAATCATAAACTTAGACTTATAGAGTATGAGAGATTAATGCACAAAAACACAATACCTCTCTAGCTGCTGTATCCTTACATTGTGTCTTCTGGTTAAATAATGATGTATGCCAGCTTTATTTGGTTTATTTATTATCATAAATATTTTTTTTAACAAGATCACAGATGTACTTTAGAAATGTACATTTCTCAAAAGTAATTCTGAATCAGTTTTTTTAATACCTTACTTGTCCCTTTCACTATATTTAGGACTCATCAGAGCGTATAAGTTTTCATGAGAAAGTCCAATTAGCCCTTTCATGATAACTGCAGTACAGTGGACCTTCAGATATCCGGACGCCAGATATCCAGATGCTTCAGTATCCGGACGATTTTTCATCGGAACGAAATTTTTAAATGTTATTTTGTCTTGTTTAACTGGTGATTCAGATATCCGGATGCTTCACATATCCGGACAAAATGACTGGGAACCAAAGCGTCTGGATAAATGAGGGTCCACTGTACTACTCTTTTACAGGGCAAATAAATAAGATCTTGCAAATTTTTTTTTGATGGATAAAATAGATTAAATAACATATCATTCATATTATAGACAATTGCTTTTAAAGTATATTTTTCCAAAATATATCATTTTGCCCCACAAAAGAGTAATAATACAGTTATCATTAAAGAGTCAACATTTATTTTTTTGTACATTTGTTTTCCTTGCTTGTAGCAAATGCCAAGGAATACCCAAAACCCTTCTGTTTCTTTTACTTTTCTCAAGGAAACTGTACTATATTGATAAAAAAATTGTTTTCAACTTTAGCCAATAAACTAGAATTCTTCTAACATCCATAAATGAGAAAAAAACTGTTTCCCCCTTTTGAAGGGGTACGGGAGACAATTAAGGGCTACAAACTTTTTTTGATATCTCACTTTCTTTTTTCATTTCTTAAATGTCTCACTGAATTTTCATGACCCTCCAGCTCACCTTTGCCTCCAATTTCTCCTGCCACTTGGTCGTTTGTTGCGTGTCTGCCTCTCTTTCAAACTTTCCTGGAATCGCTTCATCTTCACCCACTTACCCCCCGCGTGGTCGTAGGTACACCAAACACTGATCCCAATCACCAGCAGGATAAGCCAGTTACAGATATTCATAGCTGGTGAAAGAGAAATTCAAGAGGTCCATTTATTTGTTCTTCAGATGTTAATTGTATTTGGCTACCTGTCCCCTATCAGTTAAATCCGTCTGTCCATGTCTTCTTTTGTTTGTCTGTCAGTCAAACTTGGTTATCTGCAAATTTTTCTACGTTAAGTAACTTAAAATTAAAGAAAAGTGCTGGTATTTCTGTATCTTGTTTCAATATTTGTATTTTCAGCCAATTGCAAAGTATATGCATGTCATTGGAAATGAGGATTTAACATTGTATTTAATATATAAACTTTATGAAAAAAATGAGTTTTAGAGAAAACGTATGGTTAAAAATAATATAAGCCCATTTTATTAATATTTTACAAAGGAAATGCATTGAGAATTGTAAAAACATTGATTTGACAAAATCTATAAAGGAAGTCTGGCTTTATGGGTAAAATGGACCTGAATTAAACATGTTTGGTACCATTAAACCTGTTAAAATGTTCTTGAAAAATTCTATAGGAAATCCAGAAACATTGCCAATGTCCTTAAGGATAAATGGCCAACAATGAACAAATTATGTTTAGGAATGCTAAATTAAATTGAAATCATAATATTTATTACTGAGATAAGAGATCCAATTAAATAATTGCAAAAATGTTTAAATTAAATGATTCTTAACCTTTATAGTAAATGAACTTAATTTTCCCTGGATTACCTAATGTCACTTTCTTTGGTGTTTCGGAAGGGCAACTCATGTAGTGTTTAGCTAACCAGACCACACCAACTACCTGCCAGGCCAGCTCAAATAGTAAAATTCCTACAATACAAACAGAGGCATCATCAAATCACAAAATAACTCAGCTCATTAACAAACATATGGTTCTAGAGATACATTCCTAGAGGCAATTTGGCAAGATAAGCTGAAAAAAGCAAGTACAAAGTTTTTTAACCAACAACTCAGATTTTTTTTGTGTAACAGAGACTAGACAATGCAGACTTAAAGGCATCAGGTAAACAAGAGATCAACCCATTGAACTTCTGAATCTCATTTGTACTTTTATGATTTATGGTAAACTGGTTGCATTTTCTCCATAGCCAATTAATGAAACATGAAGAAATTATTAACCCAATAAAAATTTTTCTGTAAAAATTTAAGTTCATAATAAATATCCCCTTCATCAATAACTTGTACTGCATGCTTTCAAAGAATGCATTCAAATGAAATACAGTAAAAAAAAAAATGGTAATATGAGGGAAAAGCTTTATCAATTATTATTTTATTATTCTAAGATAAAAAAAATGTATAAATTCTAAAAATATAGTATGTTATCAAAGGTACTTCTTAAATCAGAAAATTTAAGTCCTAGCTGTTTTTATTCTTACTTATGTGCACAGAGAAAAAGAAATGAGCTATTTCACAGCTTACTTGACATTTTGTATTCTTAAAAATCTTTTCACATTTCCTTTTTTACTGAACTTTTGAGTGTGTCTTACAATATGAATACCACCAATAATATGTCTAGTCATTTCCCCTAAAAACTATGTTCTGTAAACTCACATTAAATGAGGTAAAATTTTTGTGGTTCTGAGTAAAAATATTGCTTTATGAAGATTTGATTTTGTGGTTGAAAATTTTACCAGTTATTATATATTTGAAATTTTACATTTCCAGGCCAGCTAGGGTTTCTTTATACCACAAAAACAACAATCATTAAATCCCCACAAAAATAAGTGATTTCACAGTAATTTTTTAGCTTTCATTTAAGAAACAATTCTTTCTATTTAGCTAACGTGTACTAAAATATTAATCAATTAACTGCTAAAATTACTGTCACTTAACACTGCATTGTTTTCCTACACAGCTATCCAATACACGGCTAATTACTGTACATTATTGTATAGTTAATGATATAACATTGAATGGCTGCAGATTACGACAGGGTCGAGAGCTTCGCAGGAACTTCAAGGGATGTCTCTCATTACCTCCTTCACTTAGACTTATATCTACACATTCTATACTGAACTTCCTTAAAAACTGAATGCTTTACTCTTCCTTCAATTTATTGCCATTTAATTACTTGTGAAAAAAAAAAACCATCACAACAACTGAGAAATGTGAATATAACTAAAATCTGACGACTATATCAATAAAAAGTAAGGTCCTTTGCCTCCTTTTACCAGATGAACTATATGTCTTTTATGGACATTCCTAATCCATCAGTTGATTTCTATTACGAGATTTTATATTTATACAAGATAGGGATCAAACGTTTACATAATTCTCATGGGGTTTTATGCCCCACAAAATCTAATTTATGAACAAAATGAAAGAGCATTAGTCCGAGTCTCACAAATATAAATATAACATCTGTGACATCAACATATCACAATCAAAACATAGGAAAGACCAAGTTCTCCCACTTTCAGATTCTCTGATCGTAGCAACGAGAAGAAGCAAAAATCAATTGTAGGGTGCCCCATTCAATAGAGAGAAAACTAATGTCCTCGGTTTATAAAATAAATCACCCACTACTAAAGGATATCTGACTCTTATTTCCATTACGAAAATTGGTCTTGGTAAATGTTCTACAATAGACATTAGAAATTATCATCCAAGTACAAATCAGGAATTTTATTTTCTGATCTTTTAATTAATAAATCTTGATCTATGCAATCTCAAAATGACAATTTTACACTTTGTCTAAATATAAGCTCAGAGGTTTGCCAGTGACAGTGCTATTAAGATTCAATTAATGAAAAAAAAAATTCTGGAAATTATCACACCAAGACACTTTACTAGACTAGCAGTCTAGTGACTCTCCTATGGACTCTGAGGGATTAAAATTATTAAATTAAGTTTTTTTTCCCTCTGGTATTTTTTTTAACTCTTTAACATTATCTGATATCCGATGTGAGTACAGTTAAGTTAGAGTGTTTTTTTTCCTGCTACAAAGTCAAATTAAACTGAGTGTAAGATAAAATTTATCTACTGCGCATACATTTTTATTTTTGTGACTGACTTAACTGATTAGCTAGAATTTTTGGCCAGAAGAATTAGATTTTTGCCCATTGTCCAGTGAATGGAAAAAATCGGTTTAAAACTCTAAAGTACTTGTATTTTAATTTCTTCACCCAGAATAGATCGTGATATTGTATATGGTATCACTATTGTGTCTATCAGAGATATTTTCTCAATATTTCTTGATGGATTCTTGTAAACGTCACAACATGGCATTGACGTGATTGAGCAAGTAATTGATAAAGATTCACCCCTAATTACTGTACATGTACCAATGATGCCAGGCAATGGGATTTATTAGACCTTACAACAGTTTATCAATACATGTATATGTGTAAATCAAAATCATTTTCAGCATGTTTATGAATTTTCAAAAAGATTAGCTGTCAGCTAAATGTATCCCCTTTAACTCACATACTATTAGGGATTAAATTTGATACTTTATGTATATGTATCATGTTGACACCATCAAAGGTTTTGGTTGGTTGGTTTTCAGAACTATTATTTTATGTACACATAATCTACACTACGTATCTTTCAACATTGTCATGGTTACCTATATGAAAACAACACTTGTAACCTACTACGACATAAATTTCAGATTATTATCAATTATTTATAACTTTTGTTTCCCTCATCATGTTCAATCAATATCTTTTTTTCCCCTCAGCATAAAAGGCAAATTTTAAGCATTAATCTTTTCTCAATTTTTAAATGATTAAATACTGGTAGCAAAGTAACTGCAATTAAAATTTGATGCTGCAGTCTTCATATTGATACATATGGGCTTCACATAAGCAGTTATAAGTGTACATGCTGTACTGCAAATGTAAGCTTCTTTATCAAGATTACAATTTCAAACAAAAAATAATTGATATTTTTCACATTTCAAGGTACCTTAGAATGAAGTAAAGTTGATATTGAATTTCACTTAAAATATCATTAATAATTTTTTATCTTGTGCATGAAACTGTGAATTATAAATAGAAGTTGACTGAAATAAATGGAGAACATCAAATCATTCATGGCCGAACTTTCTGCTTGTTCAACCATTCACTGGTCAATAGGATCATTGTAACAAAACATGTTACCTGCATCCTTTCAATAATTCATAATCTTACTGAAAATGCATCTCATCTTTTCGAAGATATGCATTGATTATATGCACGCTGACACATGACTAATTTGTTCTGATTTGCTATATGATCTGGGTTAAATCAATATTTCAGCATGCAGCTGTTACAGTTTCTTAGGATTGGTCTGTGACACAAGGAGATCATGTATATGACACTGATTAAGACTGATCCAGGTACGACACTCACACTCCCTCTAAGGCAAAAAAACCTAGGATGGAGATGGAAATCTTTCCTTATGAGGAATGGACAAGTCAGCATTCAGAAACATTTCACTGAATTGGCCTTCAGATATTCTGAGATAACCATCCCACTCTTTTTCACAGTACAAGTTCTGGTATTGAGGAAATCTTTAACCCCCAAGTGTAACATGCTTGAAACTAATCTCCCTAATGATCAATATTCACTTTTACAGTTGTAATGCTTACAAACATAAAACAGTTAGCGTATACCGTACAAGAAGAAATTTTGGTGAGACGCAAATTTAGCGATTAGTCCTTAAAAACTGGTATTTTATCTTTAGCGAGATGTAATTTTAGCAAATTTAAAATGCTCACTAATGAAGCTATTACAAATAAAGCACAATTAATTTTTAGTGATATTAAATATTAGCGATCTCGGCACCCTTGCTAATAATGCCAAAATTAAATCCTCACTAAAAATTCTGCTTACCGTATACGGTATTTTCCGAGCAAATGAGGATCAAAAACATGTACATTCAATCTGACATATTATATTTTTTAAAAATCTGTCATAGTCCAACCTTATGGGACAGCCTTACCCAGTCTTGTGTACAGGATGTACTGGACGCTAACTCGAGGTTCTGTCTCCAGGATAGTCCCTCTTAAGCTGACCAAGAAAAGGACTATTTCTAAAATTAATCCTGCTGCCAAGGAGACTACGTAGCCAAGGTCAAATGACAGCAGCGACACGCCACCCACGAAACACGAGTCATCATACTCTGATGCAGTCACCCCCATTGTAATACACAGAATGGTTAGCCTAAAAAAACAAAATATTTAAGTTAATTATGGAACATTGCAATGTTTAACTTTGACATCGATCAGCATCAAATCATATTTTAGCTGCATTGCCATAATGAACTCGTCATTATAGAATTAAAGTGCAATTTTTTTTATGTCAGAAGAGTGTTTTTCCTATTTATTTTCATTTGTGCTTAAAACAAGATTGATTGATTAGTTGTTTGTTGTTTATTGTCCTTCTCAGAATTTTTCAGTCATACACATTATGAAGACCACTTGCAGGTGAAGGTCGGCTACAAATTCTGATCTGTACAAGTTTGGCACTTACAGCCATTGAGCAGTAAGGGATCCTTTTGTGCCAGCACCTACTGTGACAGAGGACCTCAGTTTCTATGGTCTCTGACAAAAGACCTATCTCCACCACTCAAAGTTGGATTGAAACCTGCAATGTAAGGATCAACTCCTTACTTCTTGCCTCTAGAGCAGACGCTCTAACCATTATGCCACACAGGCGAATTAAAGCAAGATGATTTTGTCTTCCTATATTATGAGAATATAATATTGAAAGCTGTATACATGTATATGCAATTATATTTTTTGTATGAATAGAAATGCCCCATGGCAATGCAATGCCTACATGTTATTTTCAAAGTTAGAATTACCAACATTATTCTCCACCTTACAAGGATTTAGTTGAATGCACTCCATAAAACCATGATTACATAATAAGTACCCTAAGCAAAACCAAATTTCTGCCATCTGCCACAATTCATTCCTTCAAATTTGTGAAAAAGCAAATTTGCGAGACTATAAAAGACAGAAATGGAAAAGATTGCATTCATATTAGGAGTGCAAGTTGTCAAGTGTATCCCATCTCCCCTGAAGTTATAGGACATCATCTCCCTCTGTACCTTATGCCTACCATATCTTGAATGATTAATGGTACAGTGTATGTATTTAATAGTTAAATATATATCACATTAAACCATAACAAGTCTGAGTACAGACAGAGTAATGATTGTGTGATCAAAAAGAGCTTAGAGACGACCAGGAAAAATGAGTCCGCCAAATCCAATCAATATTTCAAGACAATGAAATTAACATGCCTGATCAGAGGCTCTACTGTTCTGGCAGAACCATTTTATCAGCTTGATAAACTCAGGGATTTAAACAATCAATACAAATCCGCAACAACAAAGAGGACGGAAATCCGGAACTATACATCTTGTATGTACAGGAGTCTGCAGAAAACGGCCAACTACTGTGTAGTTCATGATAATCTAATGCAGTCATCAGCAGATTCAAATGACTGTTATACTGAACCTTAACAAAACTCAGTCATCACGGTCATTGAAATTATGCAAAGTTGTGCAGCAAATGAAAGCCCCGATCCCTCTTCTGCATAAAGTGCAAAGAAAACCTATCTTGTTCCATGAATGCCAAGGCTTATAAATTGATTCTTCTTGGTACAAAGTCCCTAAATGGGAATTTAATTAAGGGAAGAAAAGACATCATTCCAAAATTTATCATGTTTGTGATGACAATTATTACATTTTACTATTGAATAATGAGTATCTGATTGTGTGGTTTATCCCCTAGGTGTGCACATGTACTATCTCAAAATTCTAGGCTGTTGATAAAAAGCATTGAAAAGTTTAATATGCCTGTCATCAGTGGTCATTTGGAAATTTTCTACTTTAACCTTGACTTAATTTTCATTTAGCACAGGGTTCTTTTATCTGTCCAGCATGCAACTTTAAATTGATGCTAAAACCTATAATCAGGGGGATTGATTTCTCTGATGCACAGTAAAAATAAAGTCTAAATGAAAGTGTTTTAATACTGGTATATATAATATTATATATTTAAATTTATTCAAACAAAAATTGATTAACTTTTTAAATCTTCAGCTTATTTTTGCATCTATTGCTATAAAAAGTTTGGAGTGTTTGTTACAGGAACAAGCTAAAATCCATTGCAAGACATTTATCATACACCTTCACATACCACCCTGGTCAATCCCAGTATCAAGCTCTGCAAATATTCTCTGATAGAATTACATCTGTATATCAAGTTTGACACATTCAAGTACAAAATAATGCTGTGTCATACTGAGAAAGCATTCATCAACATTGGTATCTATCTCAGCTAAGACAAGGAAGCCATGTCAGTCTTGTTTAAATAGTAAATATATCTTAACTTCCTCAGATGCCTAGATTCAATTGCATTTTTCAGAACTGCAAATGGAGGCTCAATATAGATGAAATAAGAGATAACAAATAGTATTCTAGCTCAAAAGTCCAAACAATATAAAGCAGAGGCAAAGGAAAGATGGACCTAAACACTAGGCCTGGCCACCTGGGGGCCAAAAAACTTAGACGAACTCTTTTTTTTTTTTATCTCAGTCTCACTTTTACCAAAGGAATATCTGGTGGAAAAGTGAGACTGAGATCAAAAGAGAGCTCATCGAAGTTTTATGACCCCCAGGCCTCAGAGGCTTGAGCAGGAGCCATGGAAAAGGTGAGCATCTCAAGCCACCTGGTCACACTCGCCATGTACTCTGTGTCATGATTGGATGATATATACTTTATATGAGCCTCTGAAGTGATGCAGATTATTCGGGCACATCTCCTTTTGTAGGGAAACACAACATTTACAGTGGAGCCTCATTTATCCAGACACTTTGGTTCCCAGCCAATCGTCCAGATATTTGAAGCATCAGGATATCTGAATCACCAATTAAACAAGACAAAATAACATTAAAGAATTTCGTTCCCATGAAAAATCATCCTGATACTGAAGCATCCGGATATCTGGCGTACGGATATCTGAAGGTCCACTGTATATTTATTTCAATATACTGTAGATCACTAAATTTTCGCGACACCTTATTTTCGCGAGATAGTTCTTGACTCTTTATTAGCGAGACATAATTTTCACGAGTTGTTGTTTTTCCTCTATATAATCGTAAGGAATACTTTTAAACGCGAGAATGAAATTTTCGCGAGCTCTTTGTCTCGCGTAATTACGCGAAAATTAAGTTCTCGCGAATAAAACGTGATTTACAGTATATGTTTGCAAGTATTTCATTGGGATGCTTCACTAATCTGGACATTTTTGCTTGGGAACACAGATTAACAAGAGATGACTCAATATGTATAAAAACTAGCTGAATCAAACTTAATAAGAAGCATCAAAATTCCTATTGTTTGTTTGTTTTATAAATGTCCCTTTGAGAGTTTTTAATTCACTCATATTGAGACACCAACCCTTTCTGATTCATAATGATTTGCCATTGTCTATAAATCTTTTAAACAATAGAAATTCAGTGAAAAATAAATGGTCCTTTTTCATTTGATCTGGTCCATCATCCTTTCTTCAAGCTTCAACATCTTGAAGATTTCATAGTTCACCAACTGAACACTTGACACAAACAAGTTCATTTCCATCAACATAGAAACAGCCTTAACAAACAGACATAACTCCAATCATATGAATTACTGTAAATTTACCCCTATATTAACATGATTAATAACCTGTTTTGCTTTTTAATAAATGTTTTAGTTAAATCTTTAAACTGTTGCTTCTTCAAAGGCTTTCATGAATGTATATATGTACATAGGTAAATTCTTTGCCAAAAAATTAAACCATGTAATTTAATCAGTGGCAAATAAATCTTGTGGGGTGAGCCTTATAGTTCACTGGTTTAAACTTATTTCACACTCCAATGGCAACTTGGCGGTAAATGTTTTAAATCAATGAAAATCTCATAAATTCAACACTTTATCAAAGTGATCAATATTTATTGACATTTCAGAGCTAACAAATTCATCCCAATGCCCACCATTAGCAAATGAAATCATTACGCTCCTTCAGAACTCCATAATTTTCTGCAATCATGGAGATAAATGCAATGAAAGAAGAAGTGAGATGTCAACACAATTTATTTCTTTTTTTTTCCCCTTAGCATGCCTTTTTTGCATACAGTAGCTGAGTGCAAAGTGTGTAACCATATGACATGCAATGCAGTTTGCTCAATAATCAAGCAGTGTCAACTTTAACCACTAGATCTCTTCATCTCAGCAATCCCCTATAGGAATCTACCACGATCACAAGCTACAAAATGCAATCAAGACCAGGACTCAAGGTCTCGAATTTACATAACTGCGGCAGAAGTCCAGCTCACTCGCACAATCTGAATAACGTTAGTCAATATATAATTTAATCATCCATACAGCCCAAACTAACCGAACTGAAATCTACAAGAACAATGACCTATCCGTATCCCGCTATTTCCAATAATGAAGAAAATTTGGAATTTTTACGAGTTCCTCCAATATCAGCAGTATAAAGCTCCCCCGCTAATGGGTGCCGAGGCTTCATATTAAATTCGTTACGACCTAGATGAGCTTCGTCTTAAAAAAGATCCTGTCCCATTAGAGGTTCCAACAGGAATATATGGGATATGCTTATTGGAATATTACATTTATTTCAAAAAGTTAATCAAATCTGTAAATCTTCCTTGTGATGACATTTAGTACACAAGTATTCATAATAATAAATTTAATTAAAGTCTTCTAATCAACCAGGATTAATTCTTGGATGTCCTGTTATTTTGATATTTTTTTTAATGTATCAGATGCCGCCACCTTAAAAAACTGTTAAGCTGACCCTGACTGACTAACTAAAAATCACCCAACTCAAAATTTTTTTTTTACCTGATGTAAACTTACATTCCATGATACAATATTTTTTCCCCTTTTTTGTTAAATCTTCTTATCCTGTCAACAAATATGTTGAAATTATCTGGAAAATTATTTTCCCATCTACCTTCCAATAATATTTAACCCAATAATTTTATCCGAGTCAGGAGAGGGCATGCAAGCAAACATTATGGCCCAGATAGAGAAAAATCCTTTAAAGACTTAAATCCTCAGTCTTCACCAAAAACATGAAAAAGAAAAGAGGTGATGATCATCTCTGTTATACTATTATTTCTTAATCATAATCTCTATTTCT